AAATGCTATCTTTTAGTTTAACCAGCTCCATACAGATCAGTAACAATATATTGTCTAAAGCTGTTACCAAGTAGTGCGTATTGTGACCAAAGTTTCAATTTATAAAATTATTTTATTTTGCTTCATTTTTTTTAAATTAATATGGTAAACATGATACCTACGTTAAATCTTGGAACGAACGTAATCATAAAAAAAACAATGGTTTAAAAGTCTTCCAATATATGTGTAGACAGTTACTAACATCATAATTCTAAACCATATTTACAAGTTACATAAAAGCTCACAAAAAATGTGAAAATTTTGTGCAGAATAACCTACCTAAATGTGAATATCCTTAAGGTCGGCTTTTTCAACATACATCAAAAAGAAGATGATTCTTAATTCAATTGTGTTATTGTCTATTAATTACCTCATAAATTCGTCAGTTGTAAACAGATTTTGTTTACAACTGACAGAGTTATGAGGCAATAAACATAAACTGGAAGGATCTACTTACTGTTTGTTCCATAGAAATCTTAATAAAGTCTGGTTAAAATAATTTACAACACAACAGATTATAATCCAATTACTGACAATATCTGTAATTTATAGGTGTATTAAAGAAGCGGCTGTGCCTACCTCAGAATTGTCTTTTTTTTTTACAACACAGGGGGCAACGAGCATGCGTCTCACCTGATGGTAAGTAACTACCGCCGCCCATGGTCACCCACAACACCAACGGCATTGCAGGTGTGCTGCCGGCCTTTTAAAAAGGAAATATGCTCTTTTCTTGAAGGCTATGTTGTCGTATCGGTTCGGAAATACTGCTGCTGGAAGTTGTCTCGTGCCTACCTCAAGATCAGGAATGAAATTTAACGCGATGAAAAAGCCTTTACAGGTAAATAGTTCCTATATATCTGTTTCTTTATTGCCGACATTTCGACGTAGTGCAATCAAAAGAACCAGGTAGTTTGTAAAAGCTTTTTCATCGCGTCAAGTCTCAATTGTATATTTAGAAATGTGCAAACAACGCGAAAGCTTTTTTTTTATGCAACTTTGAATGTCAAACAAGCTAACGGCCCACCTGATGGAAAGTGGTAACCATCGCTTATAGAGATGAACAGTATCATGGGTATAACAGAGTGTACTCTTTCACCCATGATATTTTCCATGTATTGCCATTCCTGAGGACTCAGGTGTTATTCCTCCATACCCTGTAAATTCACTGCCATATCTCACCCTTCAAACCGAAACACAGCAATGCAAACATAACTGTTTCACGTTAGTAACACGAATCGGACAAGGGTGCCCAAGGAAACGACTTTTGTACAAAGTCTCCCTCATCTCACTTTATAATTTTATTATCTTTCTAAAAATATCATTTTTCATACAAGAATACAGTCCTATTGCCCACATGTACCTTATATTATATTATACAATATACCTTACTTACTTATACTTTTTAAATTCTCAATTAAATTCCCACTTAAATGTTCATAATAAAATTAATGTTTAGAAATGCCAATGCTTCCAAGGTAATTTACTTTGTTCCATCAGACGCATCACAGCTAAACCAAGTAGACAGTATATAATCAAGTAGAAATTAAGTGAAATTGAGAGATGATACACATCAGTGCAGTAATGGAGCGAATAAAGGCCGCTTTGTCATCGGCTAATTTGCGAATTAGTCGCGGAATGAACGCCCGGCCACTCGGGCGCACTTGATCTAATTAATTACCTTTGTCGCGTAGCGCCTAGCGCCGGGATGCTCGCGGGTATGAACACTCAACGGTTGAAAACATTACCCCCGGCCCCGGACACACAGTTTTTATATAGGTTGTAAGGAAAAGTGACTAATAGTCTGAAACCTAACAATAGTAACTGAGGAGGGACATGGATCGTTAATAAAGGAGTGTAATATACCCTATTAGGTCGACCTCCACGTGGTTTTCCCTAGAAACCATCATGGTAAATTCTAGAGCAATTTGTCACGATGGGCTACCTGACCTGCTTTCATTGTCACCTATCATCCCTCATTGGTGCCCCGCCAGCGTATACCATTAACGCAGAAGGAGGTGACCTTTTCATAATTACCCATTAAAAAAACAATAGTACGGGGGTGGGGCAAGGGATCATTAATAATGGGGTCTAACAGTCTCACTGCAACAATATACCCTATCAGGTCGACCCCCACGTGGTTCTCCCTAGAAATCATCGTGGTTAATTCCTATGAAATTCGTCTCAATTAGCTAAGTGACCTGCTTTCATCCTCACCTGACATCTGCCTGGTGCCTCGCCAGCGTATATCGATAGTGCAATCGGGAAAACCATTTCATTATCATCCATAAACCATCCATAATACAAAAAAATAGTAACTAGGGAGAAAGGGATTGTTCATAATGGAATCTAACTGCCCCATTGATAGCAATATATCCTATCAGGTCGACCTCCACGCGGTTCCCCCTGGAAACCATCATGGTTAATTACTGGTAAATTTGTCATGATTGACCAACTGATGTGCTTCATCTTCACCTACCTACCTACTCACGAGTACACTGCCAGCGTATATCGTTAGCGCAGGTGAGGTTACTATTTCATCTATTAAGAAAAACACAATAATAACTCAAACCGAATAACTTAAGACAAAGGTTACCTTTGTCGTAAATTTTTTTTATTGCGGTAATAGGTTTCAACCGAAACCTATTATCACAATAACATCATGGGTTGAAATATGTTTTTTTTTTTTTTTAATTAAAATTAGCTAAACTTAGCAACGGAAACCAAATCAGTAATTTTAAGAATTAATATTTGTTGTCATCATATGACGAATTAACTGGATTTCAAAAATCATTTTGTAATTTATTTATTACAAGTTACAATCACAGTTTGCAAACAGAAATGAGTCTCTTTACCCACAAGAATATATGTTGTAATTGAAGTTAAGGGTTTCAATTCGAAATATTAATGTAATTTCAACATTAAAGACGTTAAGTACATGTTTCTTTCCCGTCCAAACCTTAAGTAGTTAATTGTTATTTTCTAAGGTGGCAAATACTTTTGGCCAAGACTGTAGTGTAATAGAAACTGTGAGCGATAACATAGAAAATTGATAATTTGATTTATTTAATTTCGTAAATAGATAAATAAGTCAGCCTTAAAATTTAAAAAAAAAATTGGAATTTCAATTACACATTGTTATTTTGTTTTCATAGTATCGAGTGTGTTTTTACTTTTAGGTGCATTTATGTATTTTTTTTTTGTCTGAATGAAAATGGAACTGATTATCTCACCTCCACTATCGGTATATGATGGCGAAGCAGCAGTGAAAGATAATAGGCAAAAATGAAGTCAAATGTTGTTCAGCTGTATGTTTATGTTTTGATCATGCTATGTACGCATATTTTTGGAGGGTTTGCTTGAACAAAATATTATTGTACCTACTGTATAAATTAATGTAACATTTGTTAATTATCTGTAATGTGTACCTATTGAAATAAAATAAAATAAATCTGTTAGCCCATCGTTACAAATTCCACAAGAATTAACCACGAAGGTTAACTGCGTGAAGGTCGACCTAATAGGGTATATTGCTAGCAATGGAGTTATTAAACCTAATCACTAACAATCCTTGTCCCTCATATATGTATAAGATGTTAATTAATAAACATTCAGAAGATTTGCTCGCGTAAATGAAATAATAAAATTCTGTGATGGTAATTTGGGGGAGGGTCTACACGTGTACCAAATTTCATTCTAATTTGTTCGCCGGTACAGCATCATTGCTATGTCATAGAAGCATGTCTACACATCGATCTCTCCATAAGTAAATATCCATCAAAATACTAAAGATCTCGATTTCATTTCACTTTGTGAAAAAAGGCTATCATAACTAAGGCAACACCTACAACCTCTCTATTGTTGGCACAAGTATACGAGAACACTTGAACAACACACTAAGGACGCGTCTAATGGAGTAAGTGCTTTGCCAAATGGCGCGAGCCACGGAGCTTTTAATGCAATTTGCCGCCCTTTGTGAAGCGGAATTGGCGCAATCAATCCATTTACACTTTGTTTCGCCAACATTGCCACTACCCGCCTCCGCACTACCGACACCGCTGCGACACGCTTTTAGCGACAACTAAATTGCCACCAAGTAATTTTTACACTGTTTCTTCTACTATCATGTGCAACGCTTTTACTGCTATTACAATACGTATCTAGTTTTCTTGTAAATCGTAGGAGGTAAGTATACAAACATATCGTTATAAATGTTCAAAACTATTTAGATTTTATTTACTTAATTACAATTTTATTTATTATGTAGATTTATATATAATTAATAAATATAATTATACATATCGTTACACGTGGAATAAAAGCCTGGCGTGCTATATATATTTTTAAATACTTAAACATCGGTACCCTACGTCGGACCATGCGAAACGACATAAGACAGTCTATTTAATTGAATTGTTATATTAGTATAAAGCAGCTACGACATATTGAAAATAAAATATACACAAAACAGATAAATGCAAAAAAAAAAAATTAAAAACCTTACATGAACGTAAGTACGTTATTACTACTACGTCAATTATAGGTAAAGCCAAGTCCGACCCATCCGTTTCCGATCTTTTCCCTCTGTTTATAGAAGCCTATTACTTAAAGTTTATTAAACATACTGAAACTGTAACCTTTATTAGATTGGAGATAAAACTAAGAACATTTAAACCTATTTTTTTGTATAACATAGTTGACAGACCATGAGTTACACATCACTCACTGTCATTTGAATGTGTAGCTGCATTAAATTTATTGAAAATCATTACAGCAACATGAGAAAAGCAGTTGTACAAAGGAATATTAACTGTAAATATCTTGCCATTTATACATATTTTAAACCAATTCTGAAGTAGTATAGGTGACGTAGTATGCGTGAGACGAATTAAGAATGAAACAAGTTCTCTCTGCCTACCCCAAAATGGACCTACCTTTAAAAAATATAAGTATATTATTTATATCGATTCAATTAAATCTAAATAGTAGTAGAGAGTAATCAAATATTGTTGTAAGGAAATTATGATAAGGTTTCCTATTGCAGGTACAAATCAAAATTATGAAGAAACAAATGCATTGAAGCAAAATGTTATCGTAGGTCAAGTTTGGCTACATGAGCCTAATACAAATATAGTACAAATAACTGAATTAGACTCTTACGACTCAGATATTGCAGACAAAGAGAGACAAAATGTTTTCAACAATGTGTGTAGTTATGTTAACAATGATCGATTCAAAGTTGATTCTGATTTTGAAGAAGAAAAATGTAAAATAAATAATAAAGCCAGAGATAAAAGACGTTTAAGAAACAAAATTTTTAATAACGTTCCTATGTCACCAACAGATTCAGACACTGGGATTCATGTGACAGACTTTACACATACAAGGAGAAACATTAAAAAAGCAAATCAACAAGTTAACTGTTTTACTATAATTAATAAACATTATGTCATTAATAGTGATTCTTCTACAGATAGTGAAATATATACTAAAGATCAAAAGCACAACCTACCAGAACACTATGAATGTAGTAGTAATAAAAATACATCTTTTGACGAATCCCTTACATATGAACACAATATGGATAGGGATAAACATACAATATTGATATATTCTTTTAAAAACAAACATTTATTCTCAGAAAACAACTCAGAAACAATGAATATTTCTATTAATGAGAGTAGCTCCACGTCAAATTCCATAGAAAATATTGGAAATAACTTAAAAGAGATACCTCTAGACTCTTCCAGAATACCTACCCCAATTCCTGGCACATATGTCCCTAGATTAAACTTATCGATACCACCATCATTGCCAAATGTTACAGAAGTTACTGAATCGAAGTATCCCTCAAACGAAACTATAAAATCTGATTGGAAAATAAGAAAGAAATCAATAAACAGCTGGTTTACAGACATATCGGCATATGCAAGGGAGAAAATAATTGATAACGAAGAAAATTCTGAAAAACTGAACATAATAAACTGGATGGCTCTATCACCAAGAGAAAAGAGACGAACGTCAAAAGCTTCTGTTCCACGATCAAACCTTGCGCCAGTTATCGAATCTAATTTCGAGTTTGTAACAAATAAAAAAACAGAAAATATTAATGGCAATGATGTGGAATTTTCAAGAAAGCACGACAATATTTACACGGTTGAAAGAATACCAGTAAAAAATGAAAATTTCAAGGTATCTTTTGAAGAGAAAAATGACACAGACGACAGAGGTGATCATGATGAACACAAATATTTGCGTAAGCCACAAATAAAATGTACACCGAAAACTATTAAAAATTTTTCTGAAATAACAGAACCCATTGAAAAACTAGATAGCAGTAAGTGGATTATCCACAATCGATTAACTTCGCAAGATAAAAATATTGATTGCAATTTAGATAATATTGACATAATAAACAACTCAGAAGCACAAAATGAAATAAGTGCTAGTTATAGGCTATGGAATAATAATATGTCCCTTTTAAAACCCGCCGAATGGTCTGAATATTTCCCAATGGTGGATAGTGTACCTTCTATAAATTTATCTTTCGACATCGATTCACTAGAAGAGCAGTCTTGTATTAGCCGATTAGTTAGATGTTTTCAATGCTGTAAATGGTTAAAAATATGATTATTATTTAGATTGTAAATATAAATAAAACTACATGTATGGTATTTGTATTGGCGAATTTATTAAATTCAATCACTATCAACTTCCAGTAATTGAAGTACTTACACAAAATAAACCAGCTATTCAAATTAGGTACTTAAAAAAAGAAAATACGACACAATTCAATCATCATTATTTACATGATTTATACTATCACATTTGTTTAGACATAACTGGTGTCTCGTATCGCATAGTTTAGAATGTTGTAAAAAATAAATTCATAGAAAACCCATAATTCGTTATAGGAATGTAAAATATACATGCAATTATGAACTTGTCAGAAGTTATATTCACTCCTCTACTGTTAACCCTATCTATTATAATTGTATTCAAACGCACCGCATTACAATAACTCATATCACACATTATATAAATACATGAAGTACATTTGAAATTGAATTTCATATTGCTTATTTGAATAAGCTCAAATCTACATATTATATGACTTGTCAACGTCTGCAAACTATTTTTATATGAGTATTCATTATTTATTTTTACTTAATATTTAATATTTAAAAATCTGTCAATGAAGGCAAACAGTTCTGCACGAAGATATATCCAATCGTGGACAATACTCAACAATTCAAAGATAGATTTACTTGAAAGTTTATGTTTTACAATCATAGATAAATTTGTAATATACAATTTAGTTTTGGAGAACTATTATCATGTAAAAATAATATTTATTTCATTATGACAATAAGGTCAGAACTGCAACCTGACCTTTGAGATCTGTTTAAGCCATGTTGCTATAAAGATCACCACTTTTATTAAAAAAAAAAAGAATGTCAAAATAATTAGATACAATGTCTAGAATATAGACTAATAACTGTAATGCATAACTGAAATATTTTTAATACAAATTGTCAGAAGATACCTTTGATTTATTTAGAATATCTACATGTTTAAATTTTTAATATATTGATAAAAAATACAATTTATTTCACTGATACAGATTTAAGTAGATTATTTAAGTCAATTTATTAAAATGTTAAACGTACCGTTTATTTTCTCTTTATTTATAAGAGCTATTAACTAACAGCCAACTTTTGTCTATAATTTAACATATCATCTAATCTATTATATATTGATATCGGATATATAAATTTCTTATCGGAAAACCAAATTATTTAGACGAAATCCAAATAGGCGTAATAATTTTTCTTTAGATATTTATGGAAAAATAACATACGCTGTCTATTTATATCTGTACGTACAGATTTACAAAAACTGATTTTATACATGCATATTGAATAATCTTAATATTTATTGAGTTATATACTGTAACAGAGATATGTGCCAATTACGTTAGGTACATTCACGTCAAATATAAATTATATAGATACTATATATTTCGTTTTATACAAACATGATTATAATAATATATTGCAAAAGCTATTCACAATATATTGTACTTTATACTTTATATAAAATAAGCATATTGTACTGGAATCCATATTATGTCAGGACCTTTCAAACTTAACGACGACTAACTTCGTTACACATAGTATTGTATTAAAAACAGTACAACCCTTCCAATGATACAAGACACCCAACAGTATGTACGAGTATAAAGTACACAGTGAATATGTTGGAAATAAATGCAAAATGAATTTATAAATTCACGGATAACTCGAATAACATTTTGTACAATTATAAGTATACGCACGCACCAACAACATTTATATATTGATTTAAAGTATATTGGATTAAAAATGACAGTCATGAAACAAGGCAATCACAAACCAGTTTATTGGTTTTCTTATGAACACTCAAATTCAGTATTTAGATACTTAATACTTTTTTTACATTCACAATTATATACTCTATGTAAAATGAATGGATGGCGCACATGTTTTTTTTTTCTTAAACCATTTACTTTTTACTTAGACTTTCAACTGTGTCTTTTGACATAATATTAAAAAAATAATAAGTTTATGCCTATTCTGAAAACTTGAAACGTATGCGGAAATTCTATTTGTGTAAACATTTGACAACACAAATATGTTGAAAAATGCAATTTTAAAAGTAAATAAATTTCACTTCAAGGATTATCTGTTGTCGGATTTAAAAGTGTAAAAAGATGAAGCAAATATGAAAGCAAAATAAATATAACACGACATATAATGACTGCATAGTGGTCTGTATGCCCTACAATTAGACAAAATAAGGCCATCATTTACTTTATGATTAGCTGAATATTCAAATTTTGCCATGATTTAAAAGGTTCTATATAGAAATACTGGCCATGTCCTTTGTCATATAAAATTACATATTTCATATTTACAACAGAGGATATTTCCTAGTTAATCAATGTAAAAAAATTTCTATAGGCAAACGAAAAGCAATTTTATGCGAACTCAAATGTATACCACGATCTGTTTGTATCAATTGCCTTCTGACAAACAAGGTCTATGTTGTGTTTTAAATGAATGATATTCGCAAAGACAGAGGAAACTACAATTTATAGAGTGTACTCGTATATAAAATGACAAACTAGGACAAAGAAACGATGTTTTTTTTTAATATTAGCAATGTTGCAATTTATAGTTCTTTTTTTTACATGTGTTGCTCACATCTGCGTATCAGGTATTTTTCATAAACTGCCAAAAATAACCTGCCCGATAAAAACTATCGTGGGATTTTTTTTATTTTATACTTGACACATACATACATATCTGTCACACCCGACTCCCTATTAGGGTAGCCAAAAACAATGGAACGCTAAATGCTTCAATTGAAACACACCTCTTTCGCTACTTACATATTCATCAATCTTTTCATACACGCTCGCCAGTTACAGGTACTTTTAATTCAGCCCTCTTTCAGCACATCGCTTATTTGGTCGACATACGTTCCTCTAGGTTGACCCTTACCGACATCACCGTTCATTCGTGTTTGATAAATCTTTTTCGTAAGGCTTCTTTCATTCATTATCTCCAAATGGCCAAACCAACGCAATATTTTTCGCCGTTTTCAATTTTTGTCACTACATCGTCTTTCAATCCACACTTCTCTCTAATCACATTAATTCTCACTCTCTTTTTGTGTAATACCACACATGTTTCCCAGAGCTCTCATCTTTACAGCATTTATTCTACTTTCATGCTTCTTCTACCTTTCATCTACGATTCAATTCCGTATATCATGAATTATGGCAAGACAAACTTTACTCGATACTTGACACAATCTTGGCAAATCTTTATATCTAAATCATTCGATGATAATAATAATACCTATAACCTATACATTAAGTCTTAATAAAAAAGAAACTTTTTATTCTAGCATTTCATGGACTTCACAAAAAAAAAAAACAAACACTTAAATTGTAGCAAAACCGGTTTTGATTCAAAAACTCAACTACTGAATCGATTTTGATGAAATTTCTATGGGACCTCGGATCTGAAATCAGATAAAAAAATATCTAGACTAATTTACAATTGATTTTTTTTTAAATAGTTTGAAAAAAATATAACCTATACCATATAACCCATATACTACTTAGATTATTTAGTACTTAGATTATAAAGTAGCAAACAAATGATTCGAAAAAAGCTGATTTAATAATATATATACATAACTTAAGGACACAAAAGCAGACATACACAGTAAAAAGAGATGAAAGAATGCATATACAAAATAAAAGCAAAATATATAAGAGATAAATAAATAGATAATAATAATAAGAGATAATAAATAAGACTCCATGCTCTATCTATATAATCCTGAAAGCCTATATGGCTACTATAACCCCAAAATTAAGGGGTGTTAAATACGTATCACATGAAACACTGTCACTCTCAAAAGTTCTGGAGACCCTTGCTCAATGTAGTATCATAAACATATATGACAAAGGTACCGATCGACAGATACCGTCGCCGCCCCGTACACTACGATCGACAACCAAACTGTAATTTCCTCTGACATTGACAATATTCATTTGTAAATTATCTTAACACCAGAATGTTTTCTTACGAACATAATTTTCAAACATTGAATATTTATTTAATGAATTTTTCAATCATTCATGATATACTTTCATTTTCCTAAAGGTGAGTATTAACTAATAATGTTCTCTCACTGCAATACTATAATATATTCAATTAAGTAATTTTTGTTTTTAAGCTGTTACAGAACATCTGCACGGTCTTGGTTACTCACCCTAAAAAGGATTCAAGGTATGGGCCCAGACACATCCCAATCTATATGAACTGGGACAAAACCTGGCACGAGCGGTAGCCCTGTGAGGTGGGACTTGAACTTAGCACGCACTGCGATTAAACACAGATGGTTCTGAACTGCCAAAAATGTCTATAGAGAAAATTCGACTGTCTATAGAGACGCACGTAGGAACTAGCAGTTTTCATCAGTAATTAATTTTATTTCTTTCCAGCAGATCAATGAACGGTTGTTTTTTATATATCGTATATTGCGATACTAAATGGATGTTAGCGGTGACATTGCTTACGTTTTCTATATTTTATCAGCAACCAAATCCATGATAACATGTCGCTGTTAAAAATTCTTTATGACAACCACAGACATAGAATTAATATGTCGATCAGAAAATATTATTTAACTTGAAGCACCTTTATGACATTGAAATAATGTTGTTTTTGCTTTAATTAGTACTTCTACAATATCCTTATAGCTGGTACATTTAGCTTTCATTTACCAATTAGGTACATTTGCCATCTACCCCCATCTATGTCTGTGGTGATGACTAACTACGAAAACCGCTAAATACTACAGACTAACAAGAAACACAGGATTTGTATTTTCGCGTTTCCAGCTAGTCCCAAACCACCGGCATGTAACCGCGGTACGTACTAAGCCTTACTAGAGCGTAGTCCGGGTGCAGGCGCAGACGCAGCGTGCAGCCATACGGCGGGCCCGACGCGGGCGTCACGAGGCGGCGGGTAACGAGGGCTCGCGCCGGATGTAGAACAGGATGTAGGGCTTGCACGCCGCCACCGCCGCCGCCTCCGCCGCGCGCACCGTCTGGTCGTTGAAATGAAACCACTGGTCCTCGTTGATCGCGAACGCCGTGTAGTGACCGGATCCGGCTCTGTATGACATAAATAAGAAATACCAATGGCTATATATATACTGCGCCATCTAGTGCCAAACAAAATAGTATTTTTATTGTGTATACTAGGATAGCATATTTATAATGAAGAATATTATTATTACACATATTTAATTTCTTTTTTAAATACCCTGACCACCATAAACAAATAAATCTAACCAAAGGTATACTACGTCTTAAAAACCTCTTCTTTTTTATTACCATAGACATGTCTAATAATAACTAAATATATTTATTATTCGAGACTTTTATAAAGACGTTTGAGTCTAAAACTCCTTTCCAATAAAAATAAGTAGGCAGCCAGAGTCATTCGAAGACTGTGGTCATTTTAGTAAAAATAACATTCGTAATTCATTCGTCACAAGCCTCATCATCACGGATAAATTATGCATGTTAACAGTATTTTTCACTTTGGTCTCATTGTCATTGAAGAATTAAGCATTTAATATATTAATTTATTTAAACTTCAATGTACAATTATATTAGTAAGTATACATATGGCGGAGTTAACACCTAATGGCGGCGGGGAAGGGATCGTTAGTAATTACAAATTTTTGTTTATGAATAAATAAAATTAAAAAAAAAAAATGCGGGCTACCAGTCCCATTGCTAGCAATAGGACTGGTAGCCCGCACTGGTAGCCTGTCAGGTCGACCTCCGCGCGGTTCCCCCTGGAAACCATCGTGCTGAGTTCCATGTGTATTCATCACGATGGGCTGACTGATCTGCCTTTTTTCATTATTCACCTATCACCCCTCACTGGTGCCCCGCCAGCGTATACCGATAGCGCAGGCGGGGTTAACATTCCATTAATCATCCATAAAAAAAAACACCTAATGGCGTTTTTTACCAATCAACCATGAGGCAAGCAGAAAATTAAGTAGGCAATGCATTTACTACTAACTAATGTAGTATAAGTATAAATGCTTATTTCCTGTATTTATTCATCATGATATAAGCCTTTAAATATCCACAGCTGAACACAAGCTTCCCCCTTGAGAGGTTTTGCCAGTAGTTGTCATACTTGGCAGACGGATTACCAACCACAGTTAGGCTTTAGAGATGTTTTAAGAGGGACGCTGCTGCCCATCCCTCATCCTGCTTTAATCGTCTCTTACGACACCCACGGGAAAGGAACGGGTGGCCTATTTTATGCCGGAACCACATTATATTAATTGCTCTCAGTAAATATCTTACCCGGAGCCGTGGTGCACGATGACGGCGGCGAGGTCGTACAGACGGTTTGCTCGGGAGGCGCCGCCCGCCGCGAACGCGGACACGTCCAGCGCACGCAGCGGGAACGAGATGCGAGTGTCCACCTTGGTTCTGCAACCAGCCATGACGCCTCATTAATATAAACGTTTATACGCATGAAACGCTTTACGTCTTCGTCATGTGCATAGACGCTAAGGGCACCATGAGCCCACCCAGGATGCAAGCGAATCTCTGCTTTCGGTTATACGAAAAAAGATATTTGAGAATTCATAATGCGCCCTTTTAGAGGCTAACCTAACCGGTGGGGTAGTAATGGAGTCTAACTGACCCATTGCCAGCAAAACACTATCAGATCGACCTCCACGCGGTTCCCTCTGGAAACCATATAGGTTAGTTCTAGAGAAATTTATCACGATGAGCTAACTGAACTGCACTTTCATTTTCATCTATCATCCCTCACTGGTGCGCCGCCAGTGTATACCGATAGCGCAGTTACCATTTCATCATCAGCCATTAAAAAAAACCTAACCTTTCGGTAGAAAAGGATTGTTAACGATTTTGTATAACAACCCTATTGTTAGTAATATACCATAAAAAGTCGACCATTGCAGTTAACAATCATGGTTAATTCTTATGGAATTCATCACGATGGGCTAACTTGCTTTTATCCTCACGAGTGCCCTACCAGCGTATATCATATGCGCTAGTGGGATTATTATTCCATTCTCATCTATTAATTCGAGAACCGTGAGAACGTGTTTAATCGTGGGACTCTAATAGTAAATATAAAATGTCTTTATTTATACTACGATCTGTCTCCTCGCTGGGACAATAAATGGTATGTTGGATATTTACTTTAATGGCTGAAACGCAAATGCCTCAGCATTTCAGTTTCAGTCTGCGAGTTGTGTGATTTACGTCCATAAGGTCTCTCGTCAATCTGTTAGGGTGTTTTGTTATTCTCTCCTTGCAGAATTGTGTGTTGTAATATTTCCTGTCCAACAGTTCCAATTTTAGGTCATGATGCAGTTGCTCGTTTGTGAAATACTAAGAAGCATTGGTCATTATTACTATTCATCATCTTCATACCCTTATCCCAATTATTATTTGGGGTCGGCGTAATATGTTGTGAATGTGAAAAAAGACTATTTTCCGCGCTTAGCCTCTCATTTGGGCCATTGTGCGTATGAGTCGTGGCTAGTACAGCCAACCTAGCTCCGCCCAGAAGCGTAGAAGCTTCCTGGATTCTTCACAAGCCTCACGGAGCGACCTCACCGTTCCGAGGATTTCTAAACGTTGATGGGCCACAGCCTCACATTCCAGGATTACGTGAGCAGCCGTTTCTTCGGCGTCGAAACAGCCTCGACATAGAGGGCTGTCTGTGGCTCCTATTGTGTATAAATGTTTGTTTAATGGACAATGGCCCGTTATTGCCCCTATCATTATTTTGAGGTTTTTTCTATCTAGATATAATAAACGTTTTGATAGTCGTTGAGGCGTAATATGTTTTTTATCCATATTACAAAAAGATTTGGCTTATAGTTTTACGACCGACCACCTCTGCCTGACGTCAACCCAGTTTAGGAATTATTATTATTAATAGTAAAAAATAGATAAAAAGATAATGGATAGAAGATTGAATGTATGAATGATGGAAAATAATTCTTCTTACATAGAAGGCATTTATTTCTAACTCGTAGACAATTTAATGTGATAATACATATAAATAAGTGTCAAGATGTACCTGAAATAATTGTGCCACCGGAATCTCTTGAGATGCAAACATAACACATTTGGTAGTCTGCGGATCCAAAACTGCTTAGTTGATTTCTGTTTACACTTACAGCTACTGCAGAAATACCGCTCAGTGTCTGCTAACTCCTCGACCTAGTAAACAGAATAATAATTAGATTGGCTGGAACAAAACTCTTTTAGAGGTAAGTGCACATTTGCTAACATATTGTTAAAGCAATCACATATATTTTTTACAAGCGCAATAAAGAACATTTATATTTAGTTTATTATGGTTACCATCGTCTAGAGATATGGTTATGTCACTATGTAACGTATTGTAGGGTCAATGCAGGAACTAAGAATGCTGAAGACATTCTACAAAGTAATTTCACTACCTGGATTTTTCTATGAATGGAATGAAAACATCTTTAGTCTTATGTAGATTTGTGAAATACTTATAGATTTTAAATTTGAGTTCAAGTGTCACACCTTAATTTTTTTTATGCAATTTAGAATGGCAAACAAGCTTACGGCCCATCTAATGGAAAGTGTTAACCGTCGCCTATAAATATGACCAGTACCATGGACATAACAGAGTATACTGTTTCGCCCATGATACCCTCCATGCGTTGCCATTCCGGACTTAGGTGTTATTCCTCTGCACCCTGTAAATTTACTGTCATATCCCACCCTTTAAACCGAAACACAACTATGCAAACACAACTGCTTCACGGCAGAAATACAAGTGGGACAGAGACCTAGGTGCCTCTGTCCCATTCGTCACAAACGACTTTCGTACAAAATCTCCCTCTGGTAAATTGTCTGGTATATTTTCACTTCTATGTTGATCCGTTATTAATTTCATACATTCAATTAATTTTTGTGATATAAAATCTTATATTATTTATTATTGCAAGATTATTCTTAACAAATAAGTAGTGATAGTGTTCAGACAGAACCGGCCTTAAAAAGGCACCCATGTCAAAGAAGGATCGCCACAGAAGTTCCGCTACAGTAAAGAGTAAGTGACCGTCTTACGTCAAGAGAGAGGGATGTCATCAAAAATTTATACGAGGGCGCCAGGTAGTCAGTAAGAGAGAAAAAACAATCGTGTTTACAGAGTCGCTTACACATATAGTTGTTAAAAAATTTTGCAGTACTAAAAGCCTAACCTGCACGAAGCTGGCGAGGCAATCGGCGAGAGCGACAGGCGCCTCGTGACGGCCCGACTCTGGCAACTCTAGAGAGAGGTCCAAAAACGGGTCGAACTTCTTACTCTCTGCACCGCATGCTAGGCACCGCACCTGTAGGTAAATAAATAGATCATTATTTTCATCAGCTGAACAAGTATATCTCTATCTCTACGATTCTTGTTCAGCATTACCTATACAGAGTTGATATTCAGAGAGCTTGGTTACTTTAGAAAGAATAAAAAAAAACAAAGAAAAAATATTCATAAATTTGAATGTGAGGTCACTTCTTGTTTTTTATAATGGCTACTTATTGATTCTTTATAGGAGTATAAGATTGAATCATTCTTTAATCTTTCTCCAAACAAAAAATAAAATTTACCTCGCTTTGCAGTGTACCACCAAACACTGCTGTCACAATGGACGCAGCTGGCGTTCTAGAAACGAATTCGCTTTCCCCGCGATCTGGCGGCAGAAGCTGCAGTAGCTCCGTGTGTAATCTATATAAAAAATATATATATAATACTTGTCTTTACCCCCGACTTTATATAAAAGATCAGGATATATTCATCGGATCAACAGATTGATAAAGTTATATCATTTTCCATCCCAAATACTTTAACCTTTAAAGTGCCACAATGTTATAAACTAACTCAATTTAGATGAACCAAAGTAACCGATACAGTTAGAGAATTGAAGCGAGAATATGCAGCGCAGTTAAACTATCAATTTTAGATGAAGAAAAAATATTCTGGAGTAGCATTCCATTCCAGGCAATCACAGTCATAGGTAGAGAGGCTGGGTGGACTGTGAACCGTCAGCTTGTTTAACCTTTCTAAGTTGCATAAAAAAGTCTACAAAATATCAATATTCGATTCATCATAGGTATATGTCGCATCAATGAAATATGTCGTAAACTCCCAAACTAAGAGTACTCTATACGTTACATCTAAATTATGCAATATTTATGGAAAATATTTAGTAACATTACCTATCGAGCATATAACGTAAAAATTCATGTGCATCCTGCTGTTGGTAGCCGCGGAACCTGGGCACCACTTTCCATATAACCAGGAACAAACACTCTGGTGATATGGCTGCTTTAGAACCGCAACCACTGTTTAGATTTATTAATACCTGGAATTCAAATGATAATAACAATGTTACTGCACATAAAAAAAAAACTATGTAAAGCACCATTTACACAATCATCATCATCGTCATATCAGCCTTTAACTGTCCACTGCTGAACATATGCCTCCCCTTGGGGGGCTTACCAATTAGTTGGCACGCTTGGCAAGCAGATTGACAGCTGCAGTTAGGCTTTAGAGATGTTTTAAGAGGGACGCTCCCTCCCCTTCCCTCGCCCTTACGTCACCCACGGAATAGGAAGGGGTGGCCTATTCTATGCCGGGCCACACGGCATTCATACAATACAAAATTGCAATTACACTAATAGGTCACTGATTTCAAAGTTCCTACCATCTTCATATGTGAAACAAGAGTAATATATTTTGTTTATTCAGACGATATACTTAGCTTGGGCGATACGAAGCTTAGGACACTGATTCACACCCATTTCAAAGGCATTTTTAATAAGCCAAAAGATTACAATACCAACCTTCCTCAACTCCTCAGCCATGAGGACATCATGCATTTCCTGCCGCGTGTAACTTCTCGAGTGATACACCTTGCGGCCGTTCGTCTTCGTCTCCAGTGAAGGCAGCTGACTGAAGTAGCAACTAAACTCTTGAATATTATTCAAACTCTGCAGCACAGCATTCATGAAACATGTATTGCCTAAATTTTTTAAACCTACAACTTTCTTCTCTCTTTGACTTTTTCCATTACATGGGGACACTTTCTTTTCCTTATTTCTAGTTGTGTGAGATGTGTTGTACTCTGCCGAGTTGCTTTCTTCTGAATGTGATCGTTTACGAGAGCGCGGTCTTAAACTACGCACAGGATCATCTGAACTCTGTAACGCAAGTTTACAATCATAAGATTAGCTAATATGATAATAATAGCCTACATCCTCCTCTTATGGGAGGGTGGAAAGGGATTGTTAGTAACGGAAACTGAGAATCGCATTGCTAGCAATATAGCCAACCAGGTCGACCTCCTCGCTTCTCTCGACAGGTTCTCCCTGGAAACTATCATGGTTAATTCCTGATGAATTCATCATGATGGGCTAACTGGCCTGTTTTCATTCTCATCTATCACTCTTCACTGGTGCTCCGCCAGCGTATCCCGTTAGCACAGGTGGGGTTACCATATCATTTTCATCCATCAAAAAAAATCCTCTTATGGGATGCCCAAAGTAAAATATTTAAGGATTCTTGAAAACAAATAACACTAGCCATTGTCACTATAGCAAAAGATAATTTTATACTCATAAATAATACGTGTATAATATCTTATTTCATTTTGTTATTATTTAATATTTTACGTTATATTATTTAATTGATATTAATAAGCAGTATTATTACTGCTCATTACAGCGTCTTATCTATTTCTGCTGTGAAACAATGTTCAGTTTTGAGCAAACAGACAAGTAACTAATCAATCAGAAACATTGAAGAAATGTCAATTATTTTTAAAAAATTATATATAACTGATTGATATAAAGCCTAAAGAAAATGAAATTAACATAAACTTACCTTTGTATTTTTTGATGATTTACTTTCACTGATTTCCTGTGATGTATTAGCTAAGATATTAGGTATATCACCACATGAACTATTTGGAGTTGTGTCCAGCGGTCTACTTTCATCTTTGATACTATTAGGAGAACGTGAAAGCTTCTCACTGGGAGTTGCTGAATCTTCGCTACCATCTTTACTATTCTCTTCGATATTACTATTTGTATCAATGTCGTTGTTATCTCTCTTAGTTTGCATAATACTTTGTCTTATTTTATCTAATGTTTGCTGTTCCGTATCATTTGAAACATAATCGTCACATTTGTAGCTGAGAATATAACAAAGAAACAATATTATAAATAGTAAATTATTTTAATTCAATTAAATCTAGGCGCACAAAGTAGCAGACAAAAAGCTAGTATAAAATAATTATATCAAGTAGTGATGGTCTTGTAGCTGCAACTTCATTTTTATAAAAAAAAGGAGTGAACTACAGTTTAAAAAAAAAGATTAAAAGAAAAAGACATAGTTAACAAAACATCGACTTATAAATATTTACACCTACCAGTAAACAGAATAAACATCACAACTCATACAGAGCTGATGGTCTGTGGTCTCTGCATGCAGCTTTGCATGGCCATTGACGTAGCGGCCGCAATTCACAACTCCACATTGCAGACACAACCAATTTTGTTCTTTTATAGCACATTCTGTTGAATAGAATTTTATATAGGTATTTATTTTAATCATTGAAAATTTGTTATGTTATGCCTCTAAACAGGTGACAAACAATGTGTAGAAGTATTTTTAGCATCAATTTATCTTAAAATAAAATTAATAGTAATATATCCACACTTAAATATATCCTTTTTAATTTCCTGAGTCAGAACTGGCTATTTAATTAGAATTATTTAGTTCAGCTACCATTTTTCTAAGACTCGAAAATTGACCACCACTATTGCTACCACAAATTTCACAACTTTCCATATTAGCTATCAATCTCAGACTGCCATTTCGTTCATACACGTTTTCGTAGCACACACTAATGGTGGCAGAATTAAACAAAATAATTCTAATCAAATAATCAGTAAATAAATACGGACTTCCACAAGACAACACCTAGTTCAGTAAAATGTGTTCTGTACAGGTACTAAGTTGCAAAAAATATGAAATTTTATTCCCTATTTAATATTACTTACAACTTACTGTTTGTGTTAATAATAATAATAATATTAACTTGTACCTTACTTAAGTATAGGAACCTGTTGAACCTTGGCACTATGTGTACCTAAGCCACTTAGCTTGTTTCAAATGTTCCCGTACTATTATATTGCCTTTGGTGTTCTGTACACCACTGCAGACTATCTAATGGGAAGTGTTGCTATTGATCATATGTATCGTGTTAATGAGGTAAAAGTTTTAAGGCCGAAAAAGTGGCCGTATGCTTGTTTGCCACTGAGGTGAGAGGGAGATTTTGTACAAAAGTCGATTGCTTGGGTACCTCTGTTCCATTCGTGTTTCAATAGTGAAGCAGTTGTGTTTGCATGGCTGTGTTTCGGTTTGAAGGGTAGGATATGGCGTGAATTTACTGGGTACAGAGGAATAACACCTGAGTCCTCAGGAATGGCAACGCAAGGGGGTATCATGGGTGAAACAGTATACTCTGTTATGTCCATGGTACTGCTCATGTCTATAGGCGACGGTTACCACTTTCTGTCAGGTGGGCCGTCAGCTTGTTTGCCATTCTAAGTTGTATAAAAAAAAAAGTTGGCAAACAAGCATACGGCCCACCTGATGGTAAGCGGTTACCGTAACCTATGTACGCCTGCACTACCAGAGGTACTAAGCGCGCGTTGCCGACCCTGAAGAAACCTCTTTACCCCCCTTTTGAAGAACCCCATGCTGTAGTCTCTTGGGAAAACCTCGGCAGGGAGCTTATTCCATAACCTGAGTGTTCGTGGGAGAAAACATCTCTGAAACCGCATTGTACGCGACCATTTAGACTGTAAGGTATGAGGGTGAACTCCCTGTCGATGGCGAGCCGTACGATGATAGAAAGTGGCCGTAGGCATCATACTGAATAATTCCTCTGAGCACAATCCGTTGTACAAGCGGTAGAACACGCAGAGTACAGCATGAAGCAATTGTGTTTGCATGGCTGTGCATTTACAGGGTACAGAGGAATAACATTTGAGTGTATTTCGGTTTGAAGGGTAAGATATGGCAGTGAATTTACAGGGTAGAAACAAATAACACCTGAGTCCTCAGGAATGGTAACGCATGGAGGGTATCATAAGCGAAACAACTACAACAATCTGCACATCTATAGACGACAGTTATTATTGTCCATCAGATGGGCCGTCAACTTGTTTGCCATTCTAAGTTGCATAAAAATACTTGTGACTTGAATTAGCCTCTGATCTCAAAGATGATGATGACATTGAAAGTGAGCGGAGGGCACTGGCGGTTAGGGCGAATTTGATAGCATGCAAGTTTGCGCGGTACTCTAAATAAGTCACATCTTTCTACGCGTGCAATCTGTGGGCCGTATATACTCAAAATTCCTAGAGCAATCTCCGTATCCAATATAAAAACACTTTCAGTGTTGATGGGGCTGTCATGATTCTGTAGCACGTCGGGTATGTTCGCAGAGCATCGTGTTTGTTTTTATACCACGATGCGAAAAAGGTGCGCATCCCTGGTGCGCAAAGTACGTGTCAGAGCCAACAATATCTTGAGTATGATAGCAAGCACATTGGACTGTGTAAATTAACCACTGCTGCGGAATTTCCAATGGAATTGTACAGAGGTGATTATTTGTATACTATGTAAATGTGTGCGTACATGCATGCAGGCCTGCGTAGGTACCTATTTAAATTAGATTTCTTTAAATTTTATGTTTTAATGTCTATATACCTACTAGTCCTAATGTCTATCATGTAACAAAAGTTATAATTAAGCAAGTGATAAATAATTGTATTTAAAATTTAGTTTATTATGTAAAAAAATACTATTAATGTTATGTATGTTCCTTTAAGAATTTTCAATTTATATATTTTACTAGATCTAATAAAATGATTTTGATAGAAAAAAGTTAATAATTTTCTTATATATCTATGTTTTATCCCCAAATCCTCAATATATTCTAGGTATAACATGGTAATGGCTGAAATACATAGAATATACCTAGGCCTTTTTTATGATTTTTTTTAAACATCTTAAACACATGTTAGTATAAACTATCCATCTATGACATTTTACTGATAGATACTGAAATAACTTACCTTTCTAAATATGAAAATATGTTAAATTACAGAAAAAAATATTTTTCACAAAAACTGTCCTAGGTACAACAAGTTCCCCTATATAATTATACAATATGTTGCATTAATCTGTTTTCTAAGGGTTAATATTAAGATTAAAATACTACTAGTATCTAAACTAGGCCGAGCCTGTATTTCAGACACCAGTCACTTCTAGAAACTAAGGTGGAAGGTACGTAAACAGAAATTATGAAATATTATAGTCATGTGATTAATTCTGCATACAATACGCAACCAAAGAAGTAAAATGCAAGGTTCAACAAATTTTAAAGGATGCAATGCAATATAACAACTATGAACCTAAGCCAAAAGTATGTAATTCCTTCTTCACATATTTTTTTTTCTTTGTATTATTAACATACTACAATAAAACATAATAATGACTGATATTACACTATATTTATTGTTGTTGAAGAATAATAATACTCATATTTATTTATATATTTTTATTTATATCTATATGAAAATGTATTTACAGCTATAAGTAGTATACAGACTTTAAATACACTTTAAATAATTATTCCACACTTCCAGTCATTTTATATTATTATTAATGTTTATATAATTCTGGTAAATAATTTTATAGGTATATACACCTTCCTGTTTTGAATTAATTATATAATTAAAATACATTATCATAATAATATACATAAATGACTATTTATTATCATTATTAACAAGTAAAAAAAATACCTAGTACTGCAGACAATTGATAGCTTTAATATTTTTTTTCAACAGTTCTAATATGTTAGTATTTGACCACTTAGATACATACTATTATCTGTTATGTAAACATACTAAATTTCCACTCTACAAATTATTAAAACAACAAAGTGATAAACAATAAACATAGATTTTATTACATAGATATTATATCACTGATATATAAGAAGCTATCAAAAAAATCAGAATATTATTTTGATAATAATGGCAGACTGAAAGGATAGCATACTGTTTGGTGGACAACCAACAAATCTTCTAGCTTTTTAATTGAACTTTGAGAATAGAATACTAATACAACTAAGGATAGGTAATAGTTGCGGATAAACTACGAGGAAATACCTAATTAACTAAATCAAACCACAGGGATTTTTAATTACTTCCATTAAACGCCGTTATATAGAATACATAATAATTAAGCAAATATATTTAATATAAAAACAGACCATTGAAATCATGTTACTGAGATTATTTCAACGCAACGCGTCAGAATTAGGCGATAGTCACGGTCACCCCTGCCGTGCCCCCTCCCGCACCTCAAATCGAACAGCTGATTATTATAGCTCACTGTATTGATTTTTATAAACTAACCTCCACAACCAAATGTAAATTAATGCCCATACTTAAAATACTGACTTATATCAAAGTAATTGAATGGAATACCAATATAAAATATATATTATTGTACCTGAACAGTTGAAGTTCTTTGTGATCGTGCTGTCCTCAACGATGTAATCGGTTTCCACCTTGACGTTATCTGACAAATGTACACATTCCATTCTTCATAATACGTTAAGTCTTTTTGATGATTAGTAAAAATATTCAATGGGATTTAATTCATATAAATGATTAATTGTAACTAATGCACAATTCAATATACACTTCAAAGGTGTCTCCTGAAGCGAACCCTAAAATTATACGAATTAAGAATGTTAAGATAGACGACATATATAGAGTAATGAGTGCGAGCGAGAGAACAAACTAATCAACAAAACAATTACAGTGAATTCGGATACACACGTAACGCTACATGCATTTTGGAAGTAGTCATCGATTTCAATGTAATATAAATTTTTTATTTAAAGTGTTAATTTAGTTTAGATTAATTATTTTTAAAAATGTGGTGTAACCTAAATCTAACTTACTTTTTTATTTAGTATTCAATTCATTCATTCCTTTATTTAGTACAAAAGTTTAATATATTTTTCATTTTAAAAAATTAACTAGATTGTTGGGTTTAATATATATGAAATATAAATTAATATCAATTTATTAAAAAATTAAACGATCTTTTTTGAATCTTGAATTATTCAAGGAGCCTTGTATTTATTGAATGTTTCCGAACATACCAACACCACTCCACTACTATTTTTTTACGATTTAGTAATTTTTTTTTTTTTATATTTACTCCTTTTTTATACATAATACAAATACTATGCACCCTAGAGATAATTACGTTATAAGTCTGTGATAACCATGGTATTACATAATTATTTGAATGGATACTATCCTAATATTATGATTGAGAGTTTATCTTATAGCCTCTTAACAGATTACTATGAAATTTGATATAAACGTTCTATATGAAATGGAGGTTGTAGGCACCTCTTTATCCTGGTTAGTAAACATATGTCGGTAACGCGGATGAAGTCGCAAGTTAAAGCTGAACATAAACTGAACATGAAATTTAAAGCGGTCCTGTTTTTGTATATTTTTTTTTTATTATTGTATAATTTCACTCTTATGGTCCCTACATAGTATAGACTGCCGGTTCTTTCTCTTTCCTTCCTTTTCATTCCGTAAGAGATGACTAAGGAATGTCGAGGGATGAACAGCAGTTTCTTTTAAAACATCACCGCGTGCGTGACAATTACTGGAAGTCCCCCCCCCCTGCCCCGTAAGGAAAGGCCTACATTCACTTGTTCTACCATTGTTTCATAAGATCAAAGAAAATTGCTAAATCTTACAGAACATATCAATACTTATATGACAAAAAAAGTAAATGAATTTACTTGTTCTTTGTAATACATGTGAAGGTAATAAGTATTTTGGTTAAATTTCCAAAAGAAGATCTTTAGTAGTTATTTGTCCATCAAAAAATGCAATTCTATTAATTGCACAATACAGATTAATACATATCAATAAATGTTAAACAATGATGAATTTTATATTACTTCAATTGTACAAACTACAAGGAATCATTGTGAATTATAGCTAGTAAAAAGACAAAAAAATGATACACAATATTTTAATAATTATTTATTATACTTAATTACGTCTGCCGCCCCCATAACCACTTTGAGTGGCCAACTGTGTAAGTTGCAAACCATTTATATTATTGAAATCAAGGACTTTTAACATATCCTTGGTATCGGGATCTACCTCGATAATGTCATGTTCGAGGGCAGAAACTTCTGGAACGTAATTGTCACGTCTCTCACGCTCCTCTTCTTGCAACTTTATGGATATGCCTCGAACCTGCGAGTGTCGAAGGCGCCTCATCAAGTGAGTTGCAAACCTAAAAATATATTATTTATAAAATTAGCAACATTAATTTCACTACCTAACTACACATTCAATTGAAATAAATAGTAACCTGTATTAAACTTTGGAATAAATTTTAGTTTTTAAATTACACGCAATTACCCTGGTGTGACTCCCAATGACAACAGAAAATTCACATACAACTATGGAGGACTAGCAATTTTGTTACAAATATGGGCAATAAAAATTGAAATCTTCAAGGACCAATTTTATTACTATTTGTAAAATAATCAATACAATAATAAGTATATATGTATGTATATATATACATACATATATACAACATATAATTGTATTTTAATAATAATTACATATCAAAATATGGATCTTTAATAAAGTTAAAATGTTTTTTTTTATGAAATGCTTGTTTTACAACAGTTGAAAACTATATAAATAAACAAATATTTCTTACCCTGCAATTTTGTTGCGCAAGGGCTTAGTGGGTATTATAGCAATTTCTTCGCATATTCTCTTATTCGTGTCGAAATCTAAGGTTAACCGTGTGTAGTATTTCTCAATGATAATTTTGGCCGCTTTCTTCACGGTCTTAGTCCTGACACGACCCTGAAATATTAAGGGTAAGCGTTAAATATACACCTGACAATGAAAATAACAACAACAGCGAGAACATAATAATTTAACAATTCAATTAAATGAATGATTCAGAAAAAAATTGAAGATTTATTTAGGATAAAATAATATTCACCATGATTGAAACAGATGACACCGACTGACAGATGAGAAAGAAACAAAAATGGATTCCGTTTTATGTGTTGTACCTATATTCGATATAAGTCGATGTATCGAAATAACTCGATGATTCAATGCAATACATCGTATCGATTCAATGTAATGAAAAGTTATTAACATATTCGACGTATCGATGTATTTTTATATAACATCGAATCGATGATAATTAGTTAATTACATGTAAACTCAGTTTGATCTCAAAACCATTACCAAAAAACTTTTATAAGTATTTCTATTTGTTTTAAAATGTTTATTTTTCAATAGTAAACAATTTTATATTTCAAACCTGTTTTGATTAAATTTAAATGAACTTAACCGGAATCTTATTTCTATTTGTTTAAGTAATATTTAAACGCGACAAGCACTGCCAATTGCTTAAGCCGAATTTAGAAATTGATACCGGCTACACTGCGCGACCAATACAATACGAGTACGCAATAAAAAATATTTACTACTGTTCGATATAATTTGTATTATATCGAATATATATAATATAGTTTGTATGAAGAAGATTAGTTATAGTTAGATATAGACTTTTTGAACATTCAGCATCGATTAACACACGATATGTGTGCATAGAGACATACAAAAACGTTTTAGAAATGTATTTAAATACAAATAAAATGCAAATTACCAAATAGTTTTGCGTTTTGTTTTTTAATACTAAATGCAAAATAGATATTTACAAATATCTTTGTTCGAATAAATCATCACTCATTTTTCTTCTGTGAGGTCTCATCCCACCATATGAAAAAAGTCTCTTTACCGCAGCGTTGTAGCCACGGTCGTTCGCAAGGCTGATCAGCCTAAAGCTCGTCGGCGGGCGCAGCGTTGCGGTAAATTTTTAGTGAATAGCATTGCTGGGCTTAGTTAAGCATGTATTTTATTTTAGAAATACTTTTTTCATTATAAGATAAGCGTTTAATACGGTTAGACTTGTACACTAATCCTTTAAATATTGTAAGGTTTCCAAGTCTACTGCAGTATTGGTACAGCGACTTCCACTAGTTGCTAAGGAGTCTGAATCCTGGAATATCTAGCAAGACTCGGTTTTTTTTTTCTGATGTCTGTGACTGAGGGCCATTTTTCAAATTGACATTTTTTATTTACCTGACTTATGTAATAAACAGCTCTTTTACTTGCATCTACTTATCTTTAGGCACCCACTATAATTTGAAGAATGGATACAATACTGCTGCCAGAATGTTGTCTTTAGATCTCGGGTCTTCTAAATTACATACATTTTTCAAAACGGTTTTAAACATTTTCTTTTATTATTTCAATCAACGTGCCACAATATACTGTTATTCACAAAAGTCGATTGCTGGGGTACCTTTGTTCCATTCATATTTCTACCATGAAACAGTTATGTTTGCATGGCTGTGTTTTGGTTTGAAGGGTAGGATATGGCGTGAATTTACAGGGTACAGAGAAATAACATCTGAGTCCTCAGGAATGGCAACGCATGGGAGGTATCACGGGCGAAACCGTATACTTTATTATGTTCATGGTACCGCTCATGTCTATAGGCGACGGTTACCACCTTCCATCATGTGGGCTGTCAGCTTGTTTGCCATTCTAAGTTGTATATTTTTTTTTATTCTTATTAATTCAAGTTGTAGACATCCATAAAATGTCTCATTGTCACCTTCCAAGCTCCTGATGGACTCAGCTATGGATTTGAAATGTGTTTAGCATATTCAATCAAGAACTGAATTTTAATTTTTTTCAGGACTGCGTCCAGAAAATCCGAGTATACTTACTGCCTCATTTATGGTTTCTGGGACTTTTGAGATATCCGTTATGCAATTGTCATATGAATTATCGTCATTCGTTCATTTAATTTTGTTTGAGTGGTAATATTAGCTAAATTCAATCACAAAGTATTTTTGCATTTAAACAATTCAAAATACATCACAAAAAGTATTTCAAATAAAATACAAAATGTTTTTTTATTAAAAGGCATTAAAATACAAAATAGGTATTTTGCATTTTAAATACAAGTATTTTAAAATAAATTGCATCTCTGGGTGTGCAGACATGGACAGTGCTGGTGTAAAAGTAGTATATCATTATAAATTGAAGTTTGCATGGAGTATCAGAGGGCTGAGTACAGCTTTGTGATTTAATGTTAGAAATATTACTCAATTTTCAGAAAACATTGGTGTTTCTCACCGATAGATCGGTAATGGATTTCGATGCTAATTTCGATATATCGAATAGAAAAGAAAACGTTTTTGGAAGTTTACACCCCTAGTGTATTGAATAAAATAAAAATGAATGTTGGCAACACTAGACAATATTATTTTATATAGAATGAAATAATTCTATGTCATTTAAAATATTGGCCACATTTTAAATAAGATTATTTGACAAATGATCTATAATTTAGTGTACTAATAAAGTACAAAATTACGAACACAAAATAAGTTATATAATTACTTATCACAAATGATTAAAAAAAAGAATGAGTGGAGTAAGATTCTCTTTTGTTCGCTCGTACAATAAAATGAATGTTACTTTCTTTTTCTGTCACGGGCTTAGAACAAGGATTTACATAGAAGGAATAATAAAATAAAAACTAAATCATGTGGTTGCCTCCTTTTCCTTATGCAAATATAACTAGCAAAGAGGACGAAAGATACACCATCAGTTGCTATTTTTGTTAATTCATAACAGGCTAGTGTATAAAAATATTTGATACGTTAATTATTTGTCAGTGACAAATTTTACATTACTAGGTTATACATACAATACAGTTTATGTAGAAAGTATGCAAGCAGGTTATATCTGAATTTGGTAGTTTATACGGCCGTATAACATTTTCTATAGCTGAAGCCAAAAGAAGAAAAACCACACACTACACCAACCTGCTATGAATTGACAATTTTTAAGCTATACCAACATTAATAACCTTAGATGTGACATTAGCAAGAAAAGTTTTGTCATGGACTATATGTTACAACCGAAATTGAAAACAAAACTTTTTGACGTCTTAATTATATTATGGATAGAGACCAAAAAGTATCTTGATTATCATACTTATTTTTTCTAAAAAAAAAAAAACAATCTTTTTCTTTGTGGTTAGTTTTCTTACAAATTTTACAGTATAATGAATTTCTACAAAATTTAGCTATATGACCAAACTTATTACATTTAAAACACCTATCAAGAGAATCTGAGGTTGTTGTCTAACTATTATTAACTTAATTTTTTGGCATTCTACTATTATTTCCAACAACTAAGACCACTGACTGCATGCTCTCCTTCTTCCTTTTTTCTTCTTTTACTAATCTCAATCTTAAATTCTTTAACGTTCTTTCTTCTTTAGGAGTACTTTCCCAGCAGTTACAAATGGTTGGTAAGAGTCATTGTTCGAAAGAATGTTCAGTACTTTGAATTCTACTAACGCGTCATCAAAAGGCATTTGTAATTGTTTTTATCTATGTATCAAACTTTGAGCCTTGAAAATTTTTCATCCATTGTCATATCATTTCCAAATTTATAATTGTAGAAATGTTGTAACAAATTCATCTTGTTTCATTCTTCCGATCCTTCGAATATATCGCACAGTATTTTGTAGATTTCGTAAGCATACATTTTGAAGAATAATATGCTTAGCCAAAGCATCCTTAGTCGACTGTTCTTTTTCTAGTCTTTTATCTGCGCTGTTTATATATTGCAACAATCCTTTTACTTGCAGCAGAATCCGTAATTTAAATTTCCGTAATTGAAATGATGTTACATGATCTAAAATAGTAACTCCGTGGATTTCCTCTGCTGCTACGGTCATAGTTACTCAGATTTTTTTTAATTTTAACTACTATGTTATTTTACTTACTAATATTTTATTTATTTTACCGACAGAAAAGCAAAAACTATCCCATAACTTGTGATTTTATAGAAATAAGTCAATAAAAGAATAATTTTTGTACCAACGTATATTCCATACAAATTTTAGACAACAGAAGAAACAAAAGAAGAATTATATTCGATTTCTTTTTCAATTATTGGGCGCAATAAAGTGTAAATAAATAAATAAATATTGTAATAAAAGTGTTGTTAAGTACATATTCAAATAAAAAAAATATGTTTACAAATTAATAAAAAAAAAAAGAAAAATTCTGTCCGAGAATACAAGATACAAGGAAAAAACTGCAATTGGCAAATAATCAAAATATATAAACTGCAAAATATACTAAATAATAAACCACTTCTATTAACGTCACAAGAGAAATCTGTTAACAAAGAATCTTGAATGATGTAATTAAACATTTTTGTGACCTTGAAAATGAGTTAAAATATTAAATGGGGTGGATGACAATCTCGTAAATAGATTACATTTAAAAAGATAAAAAATCACCAAAACTAACTGCTTATTAATGTAATTAAGTACCTTGTTAAGCAACACAGTTTATTTATTATATATATATATATATATATATATATATATATATATATATATATATATATATATATATATATATATATATATATAACGGTTTGTTATATTATAGAAGAAAAAAGTAAAATTAACAGCTTTAGAATTTTTAATGTATTTAAGGTTTTGAGAACAATATTAGGTATTTTTTAGAAAAATAAATCAATAAGCTACCAAGTAGTGTTTAACATACCTTAACTTCGGCCCTGCATTTGTATAGTGCGGGTGGTTACGTAGATATATGAGTTTTAGTCTTTCGTTCTAAGTATGTCTATGTTTTTGTTTTTTTTTTTTCTTTTGCATTACCAATCTATGTATTTCATAATCTAGGTATATCTAAAATCAACACTATGAATCGTTTGGGTTTGTACCTGCGGTAAACTATCAAACTGTGGGGCCAATTCTGAAGTTCAGATTTTTTTTTAACTTATCTCTTAATCTATTATTTTAATTTAATAATTTTGCGAAATTATTGTTTTATTTTACCATAAACTAAAATTATAATATTTTTTACTCAATTCTATTAGAAAGTTAGTTCAAATCAGATCAAATTTCAATTAATTAAAAAAAAAATGTGCTATATTAAATTTTAATTGTAATTTTAAAGAACACGAATTAAAAAAAAGGCGACTGTACATCTCATGTCCTCGTTATGTTCATTAAAGAAAAGGAAATCATGGCAACACAGTCTGATTCGATTAGGATTCTCAAAGTTAATTCGCATTGCAATTCGAATATAATTCGCTTTTTGTTCGTTCGTTGATCGTTGAATTATTTGATTGTTCGTTATTCTTGTTCGTGCTCATATTCTTTTTCATTTTGATTCAAGTCGTCTACATCTATATTTTCTGTTAGATAAATAATTAAAGCTCTGTAAACTGTGAATTTTACATTGTAAGCGGTTTATAGTTTTTAAATACACTACATAATTTATACAAAAACGCCGACATAATGTTTTGGGGTAAGTTATTAACCAAAGCCGGTAAAATTCTCACCACGTGTTGTTGGTGCTACCACGTTTTTTTAAAGATGTTTTACGAATTCATTTTTTCAACATTAAAATTATATATTCTTACCTAAAATTGAAGATTTGCGCCATGAATTTAATAATTTGTAATTATTAAGCAATCTACCGTATTTATAAGAATGCCTTACCGCATCTTACTATTATTATATTATTTCTATATATACGTACATTTTTCCGCTAAGCTTATTAATTAAAATGTTTTATATTATAAATATATTCCTAATATTATTTGTCTTCAAGGACTTATTATGGAACCGAACAAGCGGTACACGCAGGTTGTGGAAAAACCATTTCACATATCACAAGCTGCAATGGACATCTCCACAGGAGATAATGATGCTTGCCAAGTGATGGTGGTAGTCGATGGCAAGAACTTCCTTGTTTGTACTTTACAGAAGAACAAATGCATACAAGTACCATTAGATCTGTATTTCAAAACTGGAGATAATATTTCATTCCTTACAAATGGTGAGTATACAATACATGAAAAATGTTTTAGTCCAAATATGTTTATGTGTCTGATTTTATTTTTCCTCACCTTTTTTTTTAGTGTTTTTTGTTTTGTATATATATATATATATAAAACATTCTGACTATTCATTTTAAGATTTAAGATTAAATCCACTATTTTACTGTATTCTATTTTTCAATTTTGGAAAAGAATTCTAGGTAATAGAGATTGCAGCTTGGGTTAGACTAGATATCTAATTCCATTTTTTAGTATTGGATACTCTTAGTTCAGTCAAGATATTTGTCTATAAATAGAAAATAAGATAATAAATATGGGATAAAAATAAATTTTAATCAAGTGTGTTACATTTAATCTATAATTTCAATTACAAAAAATGCATGAAATATATGTACAGTTGTTCTTGTTTAATTATTGATAACAAAATAAATGACTGAACCTAACAGAACAACAAATATTTTATTGTATTTTCATCTGTGAATCGGTCCAGTTGTTTGATTAACATTTTTATTGCTGTAATCAAACAGCTTTAACTGAAATTTTATATGCAAATATACTAAAATACAAAAATATAATGATAGATGAGATAAAAATATATAATTGGATTGATTCTGTGGTGTGATCATTTAATAGTAAATTGACAATATTTTTCACCTTCTAGAAAAGTACATGACTATTTTAATAGATAATTCTTTTTAACAGGTAAATGTAATGTTCACTTAACTGGGTACTTGGACCCAGAATATGAGTTAGAGGTATCTGATGGTGATGAAGAAGAAGATGAAGAGGAAGCACCTGCTTTAGTACCTACGAAAAACAAGAGAAAACTTGATAACAGCAATAATGTGACGCCCAGCAAAAAAGCTAAGGTATAGATACATATATCTGTCCCACTGATGTTTCTTATGTAAAGTGACTATACTTACATGAGTGTTTTGTTTTAAATGGTCAAAGTAGTAAAATTATAGGACTAAAGAAGTATACCACCATAATGGTCAGGAATTGCAACAGAAACAAAATTTTATATTTAATATTTTATTTCAGAAATATAAAAAGGCATTAAATATTTTTGCAATTAAAAATTATATAGAAATTTCAAAGTATGTTTAAACAAAAACTTGTGTTATACTTGTGTTATACAAAAACCCTGTAATATAGTTTTTTCATGGTCATGCCATTTTGATAGTATTTTTTATTAGCTCAGCATGATGCTGATTATTTCTTTAACATTACAGCAAGATAAAAAAGCAGACAAAAAGGCATCAGCCGAAGACACTTCAGACTCAGACTCTGATGATGAAAACCAGCTCCAAAAGTTCTTAGATGGTGAAGATATTGATACTGATGAAAATGATGATTCATTTAAAGTAAATACATCTGGCGAAGCTAGTGATAGGTAAGGCACTCTAAAGCATATAATAATGTATTTTTTATTTTTAAAACTTATGTTAATTTTTTATCTGATGTCTGTATACGGTTGTCAAATATCTCCCTTCCACTTTTTTGCTCTTTATTCAATGCTTTATAAAAAGTGTTACAGTGATCGGATTTAGTTCAGATATGCGCCGTTTTGTTCGATAATCTGTTTCCATCTAGACGGCAACTTCATAATACCCCCCTCGTAGAAGCCCCCCTCCTCTCTCGACAAGAACTCAGACAGCCACTTTTCACAAGTTTTTTTTGAGTTCAACTTTAAACTACCAAGGGCGTTCGCCATGGACAGGAACAGGTGGTAATCACTTGGCGCTATGTCTGGGCTATAAGTTGGATGCGATAAAACCTCCCATCCGAGCTCCCGTAGCTTCTGACGAGTCATCAACGAAGTGTGTGGACTGGCGTTGTCCTGGTGGAACACTACACCCTTCTTGTTGGCCAATTCTGGACACTTCTGGCTGATCACCTGCTTCAAGCGGTCCAGTTGTTCTACAGTTGTCCAGTAGATGGTAGAATTAAGCATCTGGCCATATGGGAGCATAGTGGATGATTCCCTTCCAATCCCACCTAACAAACAGCAAAACCTTCCTGGCTGTCAATTCCGGCTTGGCCACTGTTTAGTACGATTCACTGGCGTTGGACCACGACTCGAAATTCTAATTAATGAACTCGCTGTGTTTTTGTAGTTTCTGACAGTTATTTTTACTTGACCTGGAAGTCTCGTTAATTTTAGTAAAATACATAATTAATGTACAGATTTTGGGGGTGAAGAATTGTATATAATAATTATGCATTTTACTAGATGTCTGGTAATTTGTAGCTAGAACATGATTTACTAAATCAATTTTATTTAAATCCATTCTACCTTTTAAGAATAACTAAGTAGCAGAATTCTATATTTATTAAAAGAAGCAAGAAACGAACTTAAGAGAAACTGTAAATAATTTCTATTAAACATATTTCAATTTGTCTTTTACAAGTGACGAGGAAGATGATGATGAAGAAGAGGCTGAAGAGGAAGAGGATGAAGTTAATGAAAAGAAGAACAAAATGGACACATCCAGCGAAGCAGAAACTACTCTGGATACCAGCAAGGAAGATAATCAAGTAGACATGTCTAAATTAAGCAAGAGCCAACGACGACGTCTTAAAAAGAAACAGAAGGCTGCAGCTCAACAACCACTAGTCAATGGTGTAGACAAATCTAAGGTGTGTATAAAGGATGGTCAACATTGAGCTTCATTCTGAAATTCCACTTTCTAACAGTGCTTATGGTCCACAGGTTATAATCACTTCTTACCATTTTGTAGATCATGTTTGTTTGTACTTTATTGGAGAATGTATGAAATTTTAGAATCAGCCCTAAAAATAATTATCCTCTTGATTATGATTTATAATGTAATATTTTTTACCACATAAACATGTCTTACATTAGTAAATATTCTAGTAATTGTTATTAGTGTTTAATATAGTATATAATTCTATTCTAAAAAATTTATTGGAATAAAATATTGTAATGATTATAATTTACAGAAGGAGAAACAGGATGCAAAACAGGAGCAACAAAAAGCAGATAAAAAGAAACCAGGAGCAAAAAAAGAGGTTCAAGAAGGTGCCGGAGATAAAAAAGAAAAGAAATCACTAAGTGGTGGAGTGTTTATAGAAGATGTTAGTGTTGGCTCTGGGCCAGCTGCAAAGCCTGGGAAAGTTGTCACCGTAGGTATCATGATCATCATCACTTCAGCCTTCCATTGTCTGCTTTTGTATATATGTTTCAACCATAGATTGCCACTTATGGCTGTTTTCTTGTTGACTTTTATTTAATATTTTTTTTTATATAAAAAGTGACATGTCAAATAAAATTTATATATTTAATATAATGAATGTTATATTAAAGTGAAATGGTACTTATTGAAAAATAAATGAAAAACTGCTAGTCTTTAAACTTAAGTTTTGTTTTACTAATGCTAGAGGTACTTTCACCATGGTTTCTTTCAAAATTCTCTTTTTACAGGTATATTATGAAGGACGTTTGAAACAGAACAACAAAATGTTTGACAACTGCTTGAAAGGTCCCGGTTTCAAGTTTAAACTAGGCGCGAAGGAAGTGATAGCTGGCTGGGATGTCGGCATCAGTGGCATGAAGGTTGGCGGCAAAAGGAAAATCGTATGCCCACCCACGATGGCGTAAGTAATCATGAGGAATTTATAAGAATACTTAACAAGTCAATAATTTTTAAGAAACTCATTAGTAATTTAAATTAGTCTGCCAGTGAACAGGGAATCAGTATCTAGTCATCTCAGTCGTCTTATCCTTGCATATGTCATGACTGAAGTAAAATTATGTACTCATAATTGATATTTTAAAAATAAGTATACTATATTTTTTTTATTAAGATAAATTATAATATTTCATTTTTACAAAATAAATTTATTATTTTTACAAAACACTTGTGGTGGTCGCTCATGTTGAGCATGCTATGAAATCACTACTCAGAATTTTAAAATAAAAATACTTCTGTGTATGTAATGTACCTAATATTACTATATTACATACACAGAAGTATTTTTATTTTACACTTTATTTAATTTTTAACTGACTTCTTATATTTGTACATCAACTTTTGGTACATGATTAATACTTAAACTTTTCAGTCGCCAAGTTTTTTTTTTTTTTTTTTATAAAATACTGCATATAAATTGTCACAGAATCACACACGTATGATCTTCAAGCTGCCCTATCTTATGATTAAACAGTCTACCAATGCCTGACAATATACCGCTAAAAACTATACCAAAGCCAATTCAGAAAAGTTCACATTCTAAATTAGCTTTATCTCCTCATGACCTTGATGACCTCACTACACAAACTATCAAGCCGATCTAGGGGCCACGGATGTAGATACGATTACTTACATTTACTTTAAATTTCAGATATGGAGCAAAGGGCTCGCCACCAGTAATTCCGCCAAATTCAACTTTAGTATTTGATGTTGAGTTGAAGAATGTTAAATGAAATAATTAGTTTATGAATCTGTATCAGTGTGTCATGGACAGTAATTGTTTTTGGTTAAAATGAATGTTATTGAAAGATTGCCATTGTATGAGGAGTACAGACTAAAAAGTCTGTTCATGTCAATTTGAAGCATCTGCAATTCAATATGAATCTATGAAAAATTATTGTCAGTATGTGTTTTTTCTTTTTTTTTTTTTATTGCAGATGGTTCATAATTGACTTACTTAAGTTCTATATAAGCTAGATTGTAAGAGTTAAACTGGAATTTATTTTTAAGAGTCAAAATTCGTATTTTCGAATTTAAAATAAAGTTACAGTTTACAACAATGATATGCTGCTACCATTAAAAGATGATTTATTAATTTTGTATCTACTTAATTGGAATTGTAATAGTAGGTAATTTTTTATGAAGGTCTATTTTAAAATTGTGTCATTTGAAGTCTCGCATAAACATACTACAGTTTAAATCTTAATGTTTCATTAGCTATTTCAAAACAGTATCAAGAATTAAATAACATTGTATTATATTTTTAACTCTTTTATTTATTTACATGATCATCCCCTTAAGAGCCTCCACAAATGATACACAATTTTTCCATGAAAAACAAAAGCTATCATAGTGTTTACATATTGCACAGATATGTGTAAATTGTAAAATGTGTTCTTTTAATACAGACCAGATTGTTAATTATCTTGACTTCAGAGATATTATAGCAATGGGCTAATAGAAGCAACATAAATCATAAACAGAAGAATCAATTTGAAATTGTGGTGGTAATAAGTGGAATACTCAGTGCAATTCACATGAGCAAATTATATCAATACAATCACATGCATTTATGTGATGACTATATCCTAACACAAACCTAGTGCAGACCTATGATTTTTATAATACCAGACATAGAGTTACAAACTAGGTGACAGTCATATGATAAACAATATCTTTTTTTATTAAAACGAATTTTAATCTAACAAGATTCTAAGTAGTCACATGTGTTGCTATTCCATCATCCATTATAATTATTATTCATTGTTGCTATTAATATTATTATATTATTAAATCGTGACAAATACAGAAGCTTCAATTTCTTGTATTTTTATTACAACAGACTTTGATCCAACATCATGTTCAGCTGGCACCCCATGGGTAACCTACTAATGTAAAGTAATATATAAGTAGTTATCATTCTATTTCCATCTAACCAGTAGGTGTATCTTACTCTTGTTTTCAATCAGTTTCAATTCTAATCAGATTAAATATTTTTTTTCTCTAAATTATAGTGTGTCTACTCCTTTAGTAAGATCTATTGCTTAGGATTTGTTAATATTGCGTAATTAAAAAAAATAAGTATATAATCAAATCATCTGTTTTCAAGTCAGATAATAATATGACAAATGGCAATTTATTTTTATAGAACCTAATCATGTACTCGCTTAAATAAATTACTAATATGGTTCAAATATGAGGGTTACCATTACAACAATTTATACTGTGTTAGCAAATGTCATCTTGATAGCCTGCAAATGTATTTCTTCACAATACTTACAAGTTTCTTTATGAAATAAAAAACTACTTAATTATTTATTGCATTCACAGGTTGCTATGATCTTACATAGGTTTACAATATCCAGTTCATTATATTGATACCCTGTTGGGTGTAGCAATATTACGTGTTTAATTAATTTATATATTTTAAAAAGCTCCATTTTATAACATTACAAAATACATTAATAAGCCTTAAGATACACAAGTTGCTACAACATATTATCTTAATGCAATTCAGGTTTCTTTGCATTTGCTTATTAGTATTTATTTTAATTTTTTACTAAAAGTACTTTTTGTTTTGACTTAATTTATGAATAAAACAACTATTTTTTATCAATAAAAGTTATAAATAATAAGTAGCATTTTATTTTAACCACACCATTTTTATGTCATATATTATGAGGTCATAACTATAAATTATAAATATTATTTTTCTACTCTTAAAAATACTTTATACAATTTCATAAATAATGGCCAAACTTAAATATAAAATAAACAATTTTTCACTAGTACTTTAGTTGGAGGAATAATCGGACACTGTGTACAAGCAGATCAAGCGGTTTTATTATAATTTAAAGTCTGGTAAATAAAAGGAAATGCTGAACTAACAATCAAAATGCTACGCGGAATTAAAATTTACCTTTAAAATAAAGAATACAAATTATTTAAAATCATTTAAAAAGTGTCAAATAATTAATCGGCTTTTATTCTATTGTCAGTGGTCAAATTAGTTTCGTTTGATGTTTCTTCTTGTGTATCAGATGTTATATTCTTTTCTTTCGTCTTACGAGGTGCAAAGGCACAAACTCCACCTTCACACTTAAATGGAAATTCAGTTTTCACGTTTCCATCAGCGTCTTTGACAGCCCATGGATTCCAAAATCGTAGAACATAGGGCTGAATAAACTTATGCCATAAATACAAAAGAAGTGGAATGATGAAACAAGGTACACACACCATGTTTTCGATGCACAAACAGAGATATAGCAAATTACAATAAAGTAGATGTACTTATTAAAATTTTCTGATTAGCAATTCTTATTTTTAAGAATTATAGCAAACAACAAGTGTTAAGATATCTATTTGTTAAAATCTTATTACACATTAATAAATTCCAGGAATAATCACAAAATAATTAAGTATTCAAAATTAAATCATAACACTGAAGATTTTGACATATTTGACTTTGACAAGATCACAAGATTACATATGAATTCAGAATTTCATACCTACCGTAAAATGGGGTGAATGGAAATCATGGGGGTATAAATAGAGACAAACCAGGAATGAGATTTGGAGTAGAGAAAAGAAATATTATTGACTTTATATATGACTATTAACTGTTTTACCCAATATTACACATAAAACCGTAGGTTTTTATAGGAATTTCAAATATGCACTGTCCAAGGTCTGGAACGACCTTCCGCCTCCTATATGAACTTTAAATGTAACTTAAACTTTTTCGTTGTTAAAGTAAATATCAATAAATACTGTATAATGTTTTTCTACACTATCATGTATTTACCACAAACCTAGTTATTAATATACCCAAACTTTGGCCATCAGGGTTGAGATAATAATAATAATAATATATCGTAGATATAATATATATATGGATGTAACTTTATATTGTATTGTAATCTTGTTAGTGGTACTAAATAAATAAAAGAAAGAGGATAAATAAGTAAAAAAAAAAAAAAAATTACAGATCATATATTTGACAGCAAAATTTTTTCCACGATGTTATTGAAAACTTAATTCCACATAACTCAGTGAATTATCTAAAAATCATTCAATATTTATTGTTAAATAAAGTTTGTTTAAATATTGTGTATACATACAATTATATTAAGCAATTATAATTTAATAATCTTAGTCCTTTTTCCCTATTCACCCCGCTTCTGTTCCAAATTAACTCAGATCCAGTATAAATAGGGATATGCACATTTTGCTATAAATAATCAATCACTACTTACCCACTAATCACCTATTAAAAAGAAACCTTTAAGTCTTAGGAGAGATTACGCTTAACTTTGTTTGTTCTACCATTCATACAACAAACTGTGCTCAGAGAAATTATTCAATATGATGCCCACAGCCACTATCTACCATCGTACAAGCTAACTATCGACATGAAATGCACCCCCATACCTAAAAGCCTAGGTGGTCGCGTACAGCGCAGTATCAGAGATGTTGTCTCCCACAAAAGCTTAAGTTAAGGAGAGAGTTCGCTGTCGAAATTTTTCCAAAAGACTACAACATGGAGTTCTTCAAAAAAGGGGTAAAAAGATTTCATTAGGGTTGGCAACGCGCGCGTAATGCTCCTGGTATTGCAGGCATTATTAGAGACTACCATAACTACTTTCCATCAGGTGGGCTGTATGCTTATTTGCCACCTCAGTGATATAGAAAAATCTAGCAATTGTTTGCGAAATGCTCCCGCTATGTTTGTTAACATAGGAAATCACTCTCTAGATCAATCTATACACAAATCGATGTTAAAAAGATCGATTTCACGAAAGTTAATTTTTATTTTTGTGTTTCTACTTAGGTGTCTATGTATTAGGTAGGAAAGGACACGCAAAAACGGCGCTCGGATACAACGAGATCCAAGAAAGAGCGACAAGATCCAAAAAAGGAGCCTATATCCAAAAGAAGGGCCGAATATATATACTTACAGATATCGGATCTTCGGACCCGGCATGAGAGATGTCGAAATTTTTGACGAATATAGGTATCTAATTCTAATTTTGTATTTTATGATAAACCAAAAATTTATAGTTTATATTTTGCCAAATATTTCATATCTATTTTAATTTTTAATATTAAAGAGTGATGAAATGTTTTAATAATTATATAATTGCTAATTACTAAAATTGTTATATGCTTGATAAGATATAACTGTCGGTGCTGTTGGGGGGAAAGGGATTGTTAGTAGTGTAGACTGAGAATCCCATTGCTAGCAATATACCCAACCAGGTCGACCTCCTCGCGGTTCCCCCTGGAAACTATCATGGTTAATTCCTGATGAATTCATCATGGTGGGCTAACTGACCTGTTCTCATTCTCATCTATCACCCTTCACTGGTGCTCCGCCAGCGTATCCCGTTAGCGCGGGCGGGGTTACCATACCATTTTCACCCATCAAAAAAAAAACTGTCGGTACTGATGTTAAATCCAAAGTAATGTTTACTGCTATATGTACACAGCAATAAAATTCTATTCTATTCTTATACCTAATTATAGAAAAATTACATTATACTTATTTATGATTTTAACTAAGACTTTTTTGTATACAACTTAGAATGGCAAACAATCTGACGGCCTAACTGATGTAAAGTGATAATCGTCGCCTATAGACATGAGCAGTACCATGGACATAACAGAGTATACTGTTTCGCCCATGATACCCCCCATACGTTGCCATTCCTGAGGACTCAGGTGTTATTCCACTGTACCCTGTAAATTCACTGCCATATCCCACCCTTCAACCCGAAACACAGCTATGCAAACACTACTGTTTCACCATAGAAACACGAATGGGACAGAGGTGTCCAAGCAAAAGACTTGTACAAGGTCTCCCTCGTGATAAATTGGTGACTTCGTCCGTGTGGCCGGGATATATTCATTGACCGGGATAAAAATTTCCCCATTCATTATAGCACGTGTATGTAGTAGTAGAAGTAACAAACAAACAAACTTACTTTCATATTTATAATATTAAAAAGGATAGTAAGGAACAACAGACGCTGATGTACAAAATAAATGGACATTATTAAATAAATTTATTGTTTAACAAAATAACAATTCGCACATTAGGTACCTAGAATGTGACTAATAACAGCAAATGAGCGAATCCTAATTTTAGGACCCCTTTTGGGACTTAAAAAACATTTTGTTAGGTACCTACCTAACGTATATCAATCTGTTAAAAGTACACGGTAATAATAATTATAATAATTGAGCCATTTATATTATATTTTACTCGTATTATAAACTATTCCACACAATTATTCCACACAATACCTTGTTGTACCTTGACGCATTTTATAAAAAAAAAAAGTAAATATATTATGATCTCTCAATAGACAATAATAATATCATTGTCAGTGGACATAAAATATCTAAAACCAACACGACACGTAGACATAAATCACAGAACAATTTATATTATCTAAGACTATATTCATATGAGAATTATGTAATATAATCTAGTATCTTTCAAGTAGTTATTGGACGAATAGGAAATTTAACAGTCACATTTGTGGAATCACACTACGGGGAATTACCTATTTTATTAGGATTTGTATTCACCAGAGGCTCATGTAATGTAACGTCTGTTTTGTTCAGTTAGACTCTAATATGTCTAAACGTATTTACTGATGTAATGCCCTGTTTCTATGTTGAAATACTCTTGTCGATGAGCGCCCTTAAACCCACGAAAAGAAGTTCTATCCAAAAAGTATATACCACGTCTGTATTAGAACCCTGTCACAATTATCTGCTTAGGTCAATTGTCTAATTTAAATACGTTCGGAGATAACTTATGATTGAAAAGAATTCATTAAAAACTATTAGGTACCTATAATATAACTAAATATTTATTATTAACATTAAAATGTTATCATTGCAGTATGGGAACATATTACGTACATAAACACATTACACGAACACGTTAGAATCATTAGTTACATGACATCGTATTCGGTAACTCGTATATGTCCTCTTTCTAAAATCACAGATAAAAAAGCCCTTAAGTAACTATTTACAATACATTATAATTTTTCCTAACTAAAACATTTAATGGTCTTCATTATGAGAATTATTGAACTTGTTCGGTCTCAAAATACAATTGTCTAAGTAATTCTAATGAAACTTAAGGAATGAGTTCGAGATTGCACACAATGATTTAATTAACACTAAATATTATCAAAATATATATTATATATTATTAATATCAACCAAATATGTATATATGTACTCTCCATATAGGTCTAAGATAAACAACATAAGTAAATAAGTGCTTCTACAGTAGTGTTTAATTTATTACAAATATCTATAAACTTGACATTCTGATCTACTGAATTTACTTTCAAATAGGGCATTTCTTTTATATATTTTAATTTTCTTATTGCTATGACATTGTATTTACCTAAACTAAAAAACAATAGGAGTGTAATGGAAACATTTCTAAATATTATTACAGGTAGTTATTGATACCTAATTTAGGCACTATGATAGAAATATTGATGTTTACAACAATACAACATGTGAGTTGGTAAATGAAAGATATCATTTGTTTAACATACATACATTTGATCGTATTATTTTAAAAAGTTACTAAGTTTAAATTTATTTAGTAGGTAATAAATAATGCATAACTTACAAAAGATTGTCATTATTTTTTATAAGATGGTATATCTTTTCATAAAGAAGATAAGACCATAATAACTGATGCTTATTTTTCATTTACCTAATTAGGTACCATAGACATTACATGATCTATTTAGATTCTCTATAAATTAGTTTTATCTAGGTATATGCTGCACTTTATGGATGTTTAACATTACATTAATAATTATAATAAATGATCGCTTCTGTGTTTAATTATTAGAAACACTGGATTGAGTGTAGGTACATAATAGGTATTTTATTATTATTACAATCTAAGTAGGGTATAAACGGTAAGAGAAAGGATAGATAGAAATAGAATTAACAGCGTTTATGGTTCAGCTTACCGAAGTACAGTAACGTGCCAATGAATTCATTGTTTTTGATTTATTTAAAAAAAAAATGCTGTGCTAGCGAAATAAAATGGTAGTCATTGAACACGTTGCATATAAATCAACCACTAAAAACTTTACACCTACTCACATTTTACTTCGGAATTTTTCAAATAAATTTTTATCATCAAAGCCCAAATTTTCAGTAACATAACTTTTTAGCAAATAAGATCAATATTTAATATTTTAGCTCGTTGATAAATAACTATATTTAAAAAATAATCAGTTAGAAACTTGAAAAATTGTTAAATTGTTTTTGAAAATTGGCTGATAATTGCGACGTTGTTACATTTGCGTAATTATGAACGCTCCTAATTCGTTTTTCTTATTTTGTAATGCTATAATTAGAGCTTAACTCTGTATTGATATGTACTGCTTCTCAGTGCGAACTGTCACATTATTAGAAACATACTAGCTTTTACTATATAATACATGTATATGAAATTTCATAGTAAGCCATTAAGGCGCTATAATGTAACAAACAAACTCACTTTTACATTTATAATTTATATTTTTTATAACTGACACTACATATCTTACATAGTGTATGTAATATAACATCAATTGTTTTATCACAAGCATATGTACTGTTAATACTAATAAAAATAAACAAACACTTCACATACTTATATTTAATCGATATATTATTAATAATTGATCACTTTAGCACTAATTAATGACTATATATTGATTTTTTAACAAGAGCTTTAAACTATACTTAATTATTTAATAAAGTTAAAAAAAAATAGACTAGCTATATCAGTTATTTCTAAATGGTATTACATTCAAGTTGTTTTACATTTATTATGTGTATTTACTATTTTTTGACAATAAATTATTATCCAATTACTAAATATTGGACATTAAACTTCACAACCTATTTATTAAGTAATTTTTTTACTCGTAGGTACTAACACTGTAAAAATGTCTAGCTAAGATTATAACCTAACTATCTACTCATTATATACCTATATATTATACTTAGCACATTAATCACATTGATAAGGTACCTACGTATGTACTCACCGGCAATGATATTTGCTTTTTATAATTAATATAATAAGTAAATGAGCAGCTAAGTATTATAATATTGTATTTTGTCCTTAGCACCTGCTCTAACATTTGCTTCACATTGTAATGATTACTTTAATATTGTATACATGAAAATGAACATATTGTACATGCCTAAATTATGTAATTCGTATCAACGCATAAAATATTCTAAAAATACTTTTGAGATCTTTCTCACAGCACTTGTATTTATTCACACTAATTAATAAATAAAAAATATTTAACATGAACTTCTTCAACTGTAGACATTAGCGTAAATAGGTCTATAAAAATATTAACACACCGTTTCATTTGGCGATAATAAAAATTTAATTTAATAAACCTATAAATAATGGCTGTAAGTCTCTCATGGCACTTTTAAATATCACAATTCTTTTTCAATTTTCACTTTTAAAATCAATTCGAAACACTTAAATGTTTATTTGTAACGAGACGCAACCACTGCATTAGATCGCGTTCTCGATAGGAGCGCATTTAAGAGCTTCCCGCAGGGACAGCGGCAACTCCGGCACTTTATATATTGGGTCGGATAATGGCGGCAACGTCAGAGCTTCCACTGACTTCTCATAAACTTTGTAGGAAAGGTACAACTCTGATACGCGAGTTATCTCATCTTCGGCCATAGACACCGAACGTAGTTGTTTTTTTAAATCTTCTTGGACAGAATCACCACATTTCGTGCATACCTCGTCGGCTACATACGGTTTGGCCTTCTTTTTTGATCCGTGTTTACAACGCACAGGCTCCACGAACTTGTATTTCTTCTTTTTTATGCTTGTTTGCAACTTGTCGTCGCCGTTGTCAGATAGAACGACAAGTTTGCTCCCCCGGGTCATGTTGCCGGCGCGAGCGATGATCTCCCCGCCTCCTTTCATTAGGGCCTTCCACAGCTGTTCCGATGGGTTTTCAAAGTCGTAGTATATGCACGTGGATTCCGAACTACTCTTAGTATTGTTCTCTATCACCAGACTATACCTCAGGCGAATTATCTTTGGCTCGTTATTGCATTTCAGGTACACGTGTATTGGTACGTCTATAGAGGAGCAACCGGATTCTTGGATTTCGTACGGCGGCTCTTGGCGTACTGTATAAAATAAAGTTTAAATTATAAACAATATATAAACATAAATTATATTCGCAGTTACTTATTACACAGAGATAAATAATCGCAACGGTTCTTAATGTGAGAGATAACGATAATGAGCTTGTTTAATGATAAAACCGTGACACTAAGGAAAATAACTTACCTACTCATTAATATTTTTAAGAAACTAGTTTTAACGCTGATCAGCCAGCGTTCATCTGGATAGCTTGTTAAGTATGAAATAGACCGAACATTTTAGGCTACGTCGCGACAGACGCTTCGACCAGATTGCATGCTGAATTAGGTGCTACTTACATAACCTGTTTTCTTATGGAATATATCAGAAGGCACGACAAATTTATCTTTAATTTTGTGGACAAATAAACTAATCTTATAAGACACGGTAAATACTTGCCTCTTTTAGGATAGACGAATGCACTAGGAGGATGGAGGTAGAAGACAACTTTGTGCACGAATGAGCTGATATCATGGCCGCTGATCCCACGAACCCACAGGCGCCAGTCGAGTGCCAGAGCTCGACCGAGTGCAGAGTGTCTTGGTTCACAAGCGTGTCCAACTTCTAGCCATATGCGTACGCACATCTGTTGAAAACATAAAAATACACATGATGTTTAACACTAGAAATAATTTAATTGGTCGAAAAATGTTTAAGTTTTAAGTTTAAACGGTTATTCACCAATTGCAAATTGATAACGCTATTATTTAGTATGTTTCTAACATTTTTAAAATACTAGCTATATCTCGCGTTTTCACCCGCAAAAATTAGTATATATACTATCCTATTCGGGGGGAAAGGGATTGTTAGCAATGGAGTTTGACAGCCCCATTGCTAGCATTATACCTTATTAGTTCGACCTCCACATGGTTCCACATGGAACCATGTGGTCCCCCTAGAAACCATCGTAAACAATTTTGGTTGAATTCGTCACGATGGGCTAACTGACCTGCTTTATCCTCACCTATCATCTCACTGGTGCCCCGCCGGTGTATACGGATAGTGCGAGCGGGGTTATCATTCCATTATCACCCATAAAAAAAACATCTATTCATCAATCCATAGTCATTTTCGCATTTATAATTATTATATTATAATAAAATGAAAAATCACTCATTAATTATATTGGAATATGTTTTTTGATAATTTAATATTATTAAATGTACTTTGTACATATATATATACATTTTTGCTTAATCATGTACAAATAAATAGATAGGCGATAGTTGATACATACAGCCTGTAGAAACAGACCGTGAGGTTACGTCAAATTTGTGCTGATACCTACCCAACTGACCTTGACAGTGAACAAGTTAATAAAATAGTAGTACAAGGTAACAACATGTTAAATTTAGTAGAAAAAAAGTAAGATACGAGTAAATCCGATTGCAGTCACTTTTGCCAGTCTATTTTATGAGCACATACTGAATACTGTGTCAATCAAAAAATTTACGTCTATAGTCAATTATAGCGGTTTCAGAGATGTTTTCTCCCACGAACACTCAGGTTATGTAATGAGCTCCCTAGGGTTCTTCAAAGGGGGGGTAAAGAGGTTTCTTCAGGGTCGGCAACGCGCGCGTAATACCTCTGGTATTGCAGGCGTACATAGGCGACGGTAACCGCTTACCATCAGGTGGGCCGTATGCTTATTTGCCACCTGTACACCTGTACCTCCACATGCAGTGGTATAAAAAAAAATATAGCATCCTACCCTTACACTTTTCGGCTATGGAACTGGCCATTTGGGACCACGCTGACAGAAAGTGTAGTACGGCAATCGAAAGCACGTATTGTTATTTGTAACAATAGGTTTTGTTCCGCAAAACAAAAAACAGTGACTTCAATCCTGACAAAATAGTTAATTTTAATTTAATTTAAGCCAAAGTCGTTGTCGTCCATTAGTTTTTGCCAAAAACCAAATTGCTGAACCGATTTTGATGAAATTTTCATAAGACCAATTTGAAGGTATGTGCTTTCAGATAAAAAAAATCATTTTAAGAATTATTAGAAAATAAAAAAAATGCAAACGAATTGACAATCTCCATTTTTAAAGTGAGTTGAAAAAAAGACTTTCATGGACACACAAATACTAATAAAAACAAAATTTTGTAAATACCTTACATTCGTACCAAGCAGTTTTTTGTTCCGCAAAGAAAACGGCAGTTTCAATCATCACACAATTAGGGAGCGCCAAGGAATAAATATACTTTATGTAAACGACATAACGTAAACAAATTTCACCTCTGTTCAAAAAACTTTACCCATCTTAATTAGTTTAAATTAAAAATTACTTTTTGTCAAGCAGCAAATAGAGTGTTAATGTTTGTTTGCTGTTTTTTAAATTGTAACATAATAACCTCTTATTCATAAAAACTTTTACAAATCTTTATTAACTGTTACTTATTACTGTTATTTTGTCACTTTCTTTCTAACTGGATGAAATTTAACCAAAAGGGAAACGACAAAACATTTCAATAGCTAGAATAGGTTAACATAATTGCAAAAAAATCAGACGAATTGAAAATCACCTTCTTCAAAGTAAGATAAAGATAACCAAATAGCTATTGATTCATATTTAGACACAGTTTAACTACTAATCAAAAAGAGAATAGAATTAGCGCTTGGGTTCATAGTAAAGTTTGGATCGGTTCCTAAATTACGAACAAAGTTTTAAACGAATTTAAGTAAAAAAGACTGCTGCTTCTTTATTGATGCGTCCATAGATAAAAGATAAAATACATATATAAACAAACCATGACGTGATTTCTCAAATAAAGTCAATATAAAGAAATCAGAATTACAGAAAACGTGGGTTTTGCGGTATCTACTATAAGCATTAGGAACTTATTGTTCCAAGGAAAGTAGGTACCTACTTTCGTTTTTATATGTGCCTATATCTAGATGAAAACGCTTTCAGCCTAGTAAAGTGAAATTCGTATCTCCTTATGAATTTAAACACAATTACAACTACTTTTGGTAGAATCGGTAATTATTATGCAACTAGATAGATAAGCAACCACTTATTGTCAATAGATGTCAATATCGCGTTCATAATTTTTTTTAATCATATAACGTCATGTCATTAAAATTATAGATAAAATAATTGTTTATGATACAATATAGAAGCATGCATTATCGGTACTCTATGTCCTGCGTATAAAAGTGTATTTTATAATACATACTTAAGTAGAGGACTAAATCAAATATGAGACGGCGGATTGAATTACTTTGTCTCGGTGATATGCATGCAGTTTAAACAATAGAGTAGGTACATAGTTATGCTATATACCTATAAAATAATTATAATATAATAGTAATGATATTATTTTTTGTTATATCAGAAATATATTTAATTTATGGTTTGAGGTGGCGCAGAACAAGAAATTTTGAAATGGAGGTGGAGGATACCTATATTTAGCGGTGGGACATCATAGACTAATAATAGAATAGAATAATAGATCAAAAATATAGATAGATGTTCGTTATTATTGCCTCCAATAGATTACATTAGTGAACTTATTAAAAAAATACAAAATTTACAAGAAAAAATTGCAAAGACATGTTTAAGAGTACTTTTAGCGCCTTTTTAAGGGACTAGGTCTCGCCTGAAAAATAATTTAAAATACACTAATGCACACAATCACACCAATTGGCCGGTCCAACTTTTATATACCACGTTATAACAAATCGGATAACAATAATTTAGGAACAGAAGTTGGAACACCTAGACCTGAATTAAATAAAAAAATAACTTCATTTTTAAAATGGCCGACTGAATTTTAACCAAGCCAGAATCTTAACTAGACAAAGCTGCAACATTTAACATCATTATAAGTAAATAAAAATTAATAAAAATTAATAAAAATTAATATTCTCACCATATTTCGGCCGTAATTTAACTTCGTCTGTTAGGTCCTGTATGGTTCCACACTAAATGCACACTAAACGAATTCGATATTATTTTAGTACTAAGTACTGAGTAAAAATAATAATGTACCTACGTAGGTACTATTATCTGATCCATTAGCTTATTATGCCTTTAATAATGCAAGTTATATAGAGCCAAAACCTCATTAGCTAATGACTTTTAAATTGCATTCTTGGCTATTTGTTTATATTTACGACTTCGTTCACACGATTAGAAATATGACTGTCCAAAATACAAATTTTACAGAGTTGACTGACTCAGTTTACCTTTGTAGGTAAGTAACTGTATGCCGCGACTTCGCCCGTATTCGTATCGTAATATTGAATAGTCTGTAACCTTCTTCAGAAAATGATCTATCGAATGCGAAAAGAATTTTTCAAATACGACTCGTAGTTCCAGAGATTAGTGCGTTCAAACAAATTTTCAATTTTATTACATTAATATATTATTTACCAAATAATTTTTTTTTTTATTCTTGGTATACTTAATTATTGTAAACATTGGATCGGATTGGATTGAGGATATAAGTAATGCAACATACTGCGTCGCTTTCGCTTGATTACAGGTTTAATTTCCGCACAGTTCAATTATTTCGTATTTATGAATGAAACATCTGTTTGTATTTTTTTTTCTTTTCGCCGTGCGGTCCCACCATAAAATTGAGCCACTCCTTCCTTTTCCGTAGGCGTCATAAGAGGCGATTAAAGGAATTTAAGGGTTGAGAGATGGGCAGCAGCGTTTCTCTCAAATCATCATCATAGTCTAATTGCGGTTGCCAACCCGCCTGCCAAGCGTGGCAACTATTGGTGAAACGCCCAATTTATGGGGGCCTATGTTCAGCAATGGACAGATAATGGCTGACATGATGATTGGTTTTATATGTGTTATAATTATGTCATAAATTTACAATCATTAGAGGGCGATATGTGAATGGAATAAAAAGTACCCATCTATTTCTATAAAGAATTAAGTAACCATCTTAATTATTTCACTATGTTGACGTCATAACATAAGCATCTGGTTCTTCGGCTACCAAATAATTGCATTCGTTCCGATAATGTATTTAAAAAAAATAACTTTTTTTTCACCTGTTTGCAGACAGCCGAACGTCACAAACAAGTACATATACATAGTTTCAGTGGAACTTAATGTATAGGTAAGGTAAGGTTACAAACAGATTCTGTAATGTAAACAATGTAGGGTATTAATCCAAATGTTCCTTTATAAACTTTAATTAAATACAAGAAGCGAAGTCATTCCAGTGAAAACAAAACAAACTTTCTCTAGCGGAAACAATAAGATGAAAATTTGTGAACAATTCACGTGAACGACTTTTGACGCTTTAAATCAACGATATTTAAAAAGAATTTTAAACCTTAGACTAAGAATTTTAAATTTTATGAATTTTAAAAGCGAAAAGAAGGTTCTTAATTCGTCTGATTTTTTTTTGTGATCATATTAGTTACATTCTCAATTCGTTTGAATTTTTGTAACTATATTGCACGAAGAAGTAATAATTCGTTTCGCAAATGACAGGGTTAACTCCCGTATTGATTCCATACAAATTTTCGAGAGGACTTCGTACAAAGTCTCCCTAGGTAAGGGTGGTATAGATGAATATTAACAAGCGCAACTAAGTACCTACTAAGAGTTTTCTC